GTGTTGCATCGGTGGCTGCACATACCTCATCCTCATAGCTCATCTCGCTGGCACAATGAATACATATTTAAGGACATCGGTGACTTCAAATCACGCGATGAAGTCTCAATTTCCTCCTTTGCAATTACTGATATAGCAAAGTCCTTTTAAAAAAAAAAAAAATAGTAGCCAGAATCCTAAAATGAGCACCTTGCACTAATAATGTCGCATGTAAACATGCTTCATTAAAGTAACGATGGCTCAAAGTGGCGTCGCTCCAAGTAATCCAACCTTCTGCGAACAAACAGCAGCAGCAGCAGATGTCGGCGGAGGCTCTGTGGATTTGGTGTGCGTGTTTGTTGGCTGTGGGGTGCACATCTTTACACTTCTGTGAGAAGATCACGCACACCTTTAAGGCTTTCACGCATATTTTGGAGTATGTTTACACGCCAGCTTGGTAGGAAAACGCGTTCAGCAGAAGGTGCAGATGTGGCTGAAGGCAAATCTATTTGTACAACGGCACCTTAAAGTTTGAACTCCCCCAAAGTTGTACCAGGTGGAGTTTGGGGGTTTTCTCAGCCAGTTTATCAAGGAGCTTTTCATGAACAGAAGACTATAATTTGGATCTTCATTGATTGATGCCATGCATTTGAGTCCATCTGTGCTGTCTGACAAGAAGGAGCACGGATTAAAGCTACATTAGCTTGTGCTTAACTGCCATATGGTGGTTACCTGCAAACAAAAGGGAGGTATCACTCTACCTTTTGTGTGTGTTTTACACTTCTACATTCTTGGTTGGTTTCATCCTGCAGAAGCGCCTTGAGAAGTATTGTATGATGGCGGTGAACTCAACTCTACTGGTATAACAATAAGCAGCACTTTGGCAGATAGTGAACAATGCTTTTTGTGGCAAAATTCCATCTTTTGTAATATTACAACATGTGGCACTGAATGGAAATGTAGAACCGCTGCATTAGCTTCTTATGCTGGCAGCTACCTGTGGATGACTGAAAGCATCGCTTCTATTTAACCATGTTTAGCACTGTTTCTATTTTATTTCTGTAGGTTTTTGCTTAAAATAACTTTTACTGAATAAAAGATGAAGATTTGGACCTTCTGGGACTGGTGTGTTTTACTAGAGTCCATCTGTTTGACAAAAAAAAAAAAGTATGGCGTGAAGGAGTAGACTGCTGCATTAGCTTCTCATGCTAGCAGCTACCTGTGGATGTCAAAGCAGAAGTGTTGCTTCTTTTAAGCAATATTTGATATTCCGACTGATAATATTTAATAATATAATATTTAGTAGGTGTCTATTTCCACTTGGCTTGAGAGGTGCCTCAGACCACTTTTTGTGAATGAAGATTTGGATGTCCTTTGTCTAGAACAATGGATTAGTTTAGCTTCTCACTCTAGCCTATCGGGGGACTACTGAGCAGAGTTCATATTTCTATTAAAGTGTACTTTTATTTGTGTAGGTTACTACTACCTCTTGGCTCGATAAAACTCTTGGGCACTATGACTAACTTTTACCAAACAAAACACAAAGATTGGAATCTTCTAGGGAACCCCAAGTGGAGATGTTTTACCTGTGGAGGCTTGGGTGGTGCTTCTGTTAAAAAACACTTTGATGCTCTTATTTGAATTTTTGTTACTTCCCATTGGCTTGCTCAGACTATTAGCTGGCATAATTCTTTTTTTTTGTCAACAAGACTGTATTTTGGATCTTTTGTGCATTGCGTCCGAGTCTGTTTGACAAGAAGAAGTGAAGACATAGACAGGTATGTTAGCTTCTCGCACTGGTTGTTACCTATGGATGACTTAGGCAATGTTCCACATTGCTAGTTTAGTAGGTTTTTACATTTTGTTTTTGCTCCCATCCCTGTTGAAAAACATTGATATCCTGTACCTGCAAAGTCTCCCATCTGCTTCACTTTACCACCTTGACATTAAGATGTAAGCTCAGCATCATCCTAATTGAATTCAAAGACCTACATTCGACAACATGAGTTGCCTTGGCAACAAATGCGCCCCCCTGCCCCCCCGCGCCCCACAACTCCCCAACCTCCCAGTCACTACCCCCTAAATAAATTGTGAAAGATCAATAGAATATCCTCAGCAATGTGGCAGAAAACACTCAGGCACAGATGCTGCTCAGGAGAAAGTGCAAGCTTTGTGACATAGTTACCGTGTGAATGCTAACGCAGCTCTGTTAGGTCAGGCCCGACGCCGCGCATGAACAAGAGTCTGCGGGAATTTTCATACCAACAAAGTCTAGCCTTGGTTACTAATTGAGGGAATTTGGAAAAATTATTTCCGACAACAGCAGCGCTTTGCTTCATTAATAAGCTCTCTTGGGGATTGGGAATGTTCTCACGCCATGTGTGTGCGTGCGTGTGTGTTTTTGCATGCACAATTGATTTGACCTCTGAAACAGTTTGACTGACAATAGAAAGTAGATGCAGCAGTGAATCAATTAATGTGAGTACGTTTTCCAAGCAATATCGTTTCGCTTGAAGATTGCACAGTGTGACAAAAACTGCATATTCAATATTTTAATTGGATTAGTCCGTTCTAGGATCAAACTGTATCTGTACAAGCAATGTTTGAAGTAAAAATTTCATCTGCGAGTGTCAGACTAAGTCAACCCCTGTAATTATCGACACGTAAAAACTTAATGTGAAATCACGTCTTCCTTCTTCCCAATGGAAATCACGGAAACAGTGCCAAATAATGATGAATTGAAATTACATTCTCAATGTTTTCCACTGGAAGTAAAAAGCCATAAAATGTGTCTGCTATTGGGTCTAATATAGGATATCATCAAACCTCTTTTAATTGTACAGGCTATGTTTCAGGTACCTTTCTTAACTGTCATACAATTGGAAAAATATGACAAAAAAGATACTAACCACTGTTTTAGTCAAACAAAAAAATAAAATACTGAATATTACCTTTAAAAGTGTGTCCTAATGTTTGAGTCCTAATGTGAGCGTACCATATTTTCACGACCATAAGGCGCACTTAAAAGTCTTAAATTTTCTCCAAAATGAACGGGGCGTGTAATAATGCGGGTTGCCCTGTGTATGCATCGTGTTCCGAAATCTGTGAATGCTGTTGTGTGACTTCGATGAGGGGTCATGCAAGGCGGACATAATCGAGGACAGCCTTACGCACGGTTAAATGGAAAGGGTGGGAGTGAAAGAGGAGGCTAAATGCGCGGCCCCTGTAATTGCATTGTGCAAAACAACATCCCAAAAATGGCACTGATGAAGAGAGATGCTTACGAAGCCCCGTTTATGCTGCAAACAATCAGTTACGCGGAGGATGTTTTATGAAACAGCACCATCTATCCATCCAGGCAAAGATGACCGTGACTCAGGAACATCGGATTACAAGGAAAAGCTGGCCATCTTCCGCTCCACCTGCAGTAAAATGTTACGTTCAATAATGATGCTTTCTTGGAGATTCTAATCCTTTATTCTGCCGCTCTGCCAGACTCATTTGGCGTCCATTAGTTGACTGTTCTCTGAACCAATCCCCACATTCCAACATACCCGCTTGAGCTACCCGATGAGAGACAAGCACACTTTGCAGGTATACAAAAAAGATTGCCGACAAACACATCCAGCCCAACCATATTGCCAACATGGACGAGGTGCCGCTCACTTTCAACATCCCGGTGAACCACACCATAGAGAAGAAAGGGACTTCACGAAAGTACAACCAAATTCAGTTTTTCTCCCTCTGCCTTTTTAAAAACATATGCTAGCATGCATCGTGCTACTGTATTTTTACTATGCCTGCATCAAATTATACAATGCGACTTGTGTATGTGTTGAATACAGAAATAGCAGTCGTAACTGATACTACGCCTTTTAATACAGTGCGCCGGTAAATTAGCCATGACAGATTGTCAATGGCTTTTAGCATCTTGCTTTTTAATTGACATGTTAGATTTTCACTTACAGGTAGTGAAAAAGGGGCAGCTGGGAACAAGTTAAGGTCCTGTCCTTGTTCCGCAAATGGAAAGTCACTTTTCATTGCTTCATTTGATTGAAGCTAACACGCGCTCCTCATTCCCAATGAAGCTTTAGGCGTTTGCCGGCAAGACCGATGCCAAGACCGGCCGAGAGCGGCTGGAAACAACATCCGTTTGCCACCGGGGCCTCTTGTCTTCGCTCCCGCCTTAGATCACATTTTCCACCTGTCACCACAGGCGGGTTCTCTCTGAGACGAAAATCAATAGCTCTAAATAGAAATCGGAGCATCTCCAGCTTCCTCAAAAAAAAACAAAACAAAAAGAGTTAAAGTCGAGAGTAAAAGCATCCATCAGAGGCAGTCCAAAACATTACGAGGCTTTTTGCTGTCCGCATTTGCACAATTGTTCTAACCCCAACCCTGTTCCCTAAGCGTGAGTCTTGGCGAACCAGATCTGCACAATTCTGCTAACCAAAACACAAAACCTCACCCAAATCTCACTGTAATCTCAACCCCACCCTAAATTTTTGTTGACTAGAATTTCACACAGTTTTAACTCAATCTCTTATCCCGCACCCTGTGTTGACTAGATTGTCCAAACCCTAAACATCGATACATAATCTATGTTGTATTGCGATCCCATTTTGTGGGTTTTCTCCAGTGCCTTACTGTTTGAAAAGGTCATAGAGATTTCTTGTCTAGCAACCTTTATTTCTTCATGCTGCTGTGGCCTGAAGAGGGAAAAAATGTTTTATGAAGAAAATGAGGGACATGTGCTTTGTGATCATTTTGTAAATCATATGCTTCAAGCACAAAAGCATGCTTATTTGCCTGAAAAGTCTCCACAGATATGGTTTCTGATGGTGTCGCCGCGGTCTTTCATCTGAGTAGGTGTCATTATTTCAGAAAAGCCCATTCCATCTCGCATTGCTAACTTGCTTCTACCTTGGATAGGCATTGGGGTTTTGCAGCAGCAGGCTCTCATAAAAGGTATTCACGCTGTTTATTCATCCCATTTTGATCGCCTCTTTCTGTGTGTTCAGGAACAGGAACGCGATTGAGAATGGAGCGGCTGATTCTGTGTGTGCTGCTGTGTGGTGCCCTGGTGAAGGGCAACAGTTGTCCTGGCCGCTGCATCTGCCAGCACCTGTCGCCCACCCTGACGCTCCTCTGCGCCAAGACGGGCCTCCTTTTCGTGCCGCCCACCATCGACCGCAAGACAGTCGAGCTGCGGCTCACCGACAACTTCATCACCGTCATCCGCAGAAAGGACTTCTTCAACATGACCAGCCTGGTGCACCTCACCTTGTCCCGCAACACCATTAGCCAGATTACTCCCCAGGCCTTCTTCGGCCTCCGCTCGCTGCGCGCGCTGCACATGGACGGAAACCGTCTGAGTGCAATCAGAAGCGACCATTTCAAAGGCCTGAACAACCTGCGACACCTCATCCTCGGGAACAACCAGATCCACCAAGTAGCGGCCACGTCCTTTGATGAGTTTGTTTCCACCATCGAGGACCTGGATCTGTCCAACAACAACCTGCGCACCCTGCCTTGGGAAGCCATAGCCCGGATGACTAACATCAACACGCTCACCCTGGACCACAACCTGATCGACCACATCGAAGCGGGCACTTTTACCCTGCTCACCAAGCTGGTTCGTCTGGATATGACATCCAACCGGCTGCAGAAGCTGCCGCCCGACAGCCTGTTCCAGCACGCCCAGGTGCTGTCAGACGCAAAGGGTTCCAGCTCATCCACTCTGGCCGTCAGCTTCGGGGGCAACCCGCTTCACTGCAACTGCGAGCTGCTGTGGCTCCGCCGGCTGACCCGCGAGGATGATTTGGAAACTTGCGCCTCGCCGGAACACCTCATGGACAAGTATTTCTGGTCCATACAAGAGGAAGAGTTCATCTGCGAACCACCACTGATTACCAAACACCTTGCCACCAAGCCCCACGTGATGGAAGGGCAAGGGCTCACCTTGAAGTGCAAGGCGGTTGGCGATCCCGACCCAGAGATCCACTGGCGTTCGCCCGATGGCAAGCTGGTGCACAACAACTCCCGCACCATCCTGTACGAAAACGGCACCCTTGATATTCTCATCACCACCCTGAAGGACAGCGGGGCGTTCAACTGCGTGGCCTCCAACGCGGCGGGCATCGCCACTGCCGCCGTGGAGGTCAACATGATCCCCCTCCCGCTGTTCGTGAACAACACAGGTCACATGCGCGAAGACCCAGGCCTGTCTGACATCACCACCTCGTCCAAGTCGGGCAATGACACAAAGCACAAGCAGGGCAGGAGGGTGCTGGTCACCGAGGTGACTTCGTCGTCGGCCGTAATCCGATGGCCATCCGAGCGTCACATCCCCGGCACCAGAATGTACCAGGTCCAGTACAACACCACCGTTGACGACACACTGGTGTACAGGTTAGTCAAAGGACGATCGAGACATGTGTTGTGTGACAAATCTCAGTCGAGCCAATAATTCAGCGAACTGTGGTGCTACCGGCCATCGCCATGGTTTCAAAACAACATTCCGCATTGACAATGAATATTGTCTTGCACACAAAGCTAACATAGCAGTCAACAGCGTTCCGTGAGCGCCACTTCCTGACTGACTGCACAAAGAGATGGCCGAACATGCACCACACCCATCACAGATGATCCAAAATAATAATTTTTTTTCAGAAAAAGATCAACCTGAGAGTCCTTTCAAGCTAAGAATTGAACAAAAACAGGAAGTACAAACCTACCCAAATTATAACATAACAACGCTGAAAAACACGAAACAGTCCAAAGGCGTAACGAATCAAGTACTTGGCTGACTAAAATTTGGTAAATCAACACTTGACAGAACTAATGTATCACTTGACAAACAATTTGTTGACAAAAGTACAAGTTTCGAATGAGAAGTCGACTGAAATGACATGACTTGTGACATAAAAATATTTCGTTTGGGATTTTCTAAATTTACTTTACAGTTGACCTTTAACAGAAGCACTCACCTCCAACTTTCACAACCTTGAACCACCGAACAAAATTACCTGATTGCCCCCAAAGTCTTGCGAGAACTTCCAGTGGCGTTTTTTCTCTAAACAACCTTTCAAAAAGTCCAGACAGAAGCTGGCTGACGTGAAGTCTTTTGAGGTCTCCATTTGGCCCGCAGTACCGCACAACGGGAGTAAAGGGCCTTCTTCCAGCATCATTACACCACAATAAATAACAACAGCACATTTCACGATGCGCACTCAGCCAAACAGCAATCACCATCATTAATTTGCTGCGAGTTAAAAGTGTGATTACTTGCGGTCGGCTAATTAAAGGCTTGGTTGCAGCGGCGTGCCATTTACTGATTGGCGGTGGGCAAATAAGCAAAGACTTCTTTACTACTAAAAGTTTTTAAAGTTTAGGAAGTAAAATCGGATTTTATCATGATGTTATATGATTATTATCACTGTTGTGTATGCAAGCCGCCAAATTATAAAGTGGGGCAACATTATAATGTGGTGCAGGTCTTTTTTAGGGGTTGTTCATAGTTTAATGTGTAATGGATCCTTTCGGGTCTTTTGTAATGCTAATGACGTCCCTTATGAATAATTAACATGTTCACTGAATAAGGGAATTTTGAAAACATGAAAACAGCAGTCAATAAAAGGAAACACTCCAATAACGTAGTTCATTTAACTCGGATAAATGTGCTTTTCTGATGCCTGGAATACATGAATGTGCATATATTTGCATACATTTGCATATTGGATATACATTTCCTTTAATGTACTGTCTTATTAAATGCCTACATTTAGAACACATATTATATTATATTATATTATATTATATTATATTATATTATATTATATTATATAATTACAGTACTTTGTTTCATTGGCAAAATACTGATGCATAAAAAGAGCAACAGCAGAAGGGCTTCTTAGTCTTTTAAATATACTGTAAGCTGCGCTCTGATTCACGATGTGACACACAAACAGAATCAAGGATACTGGCATCTCTTCCAGGGTTCATCTATTCATGCAGTGCATTAATAAAGCATCTGCCGTTGAGCTTTATTATCGGGCATAATGAGTCACATAATTTTCTTAGCCAATTTAAAGCCTTGGTGTTTTGTTTTGAGGCACTATGGAAAATCACATATAGATGACAAGCATCTACAAAGTAACTCCAACATAAGGGAGAGATTTCTATTTATTATGTGAATGCTCCTTTAACACCCAGCCTTTGAGGGGTACAACCTGGACTGGTCAACAACCACTCACAAGGCACATGGAGACAAACACAAGTTTATCCTCACATTCATCACTATGCACAATTTAGGCTTGTCGAAGTCTCAAATTGAATCACACATGCGGCCAAAACTCAGAGGCTACATTTGATCGGAGAACGAAGGCGATTCAAAAAAAAAAAAAAAAAAAAAAAAAAGAAAGAAAAATTAACAATTGCAATTTGAAATAGACAGGATACAATGTCAGTCGGGGCCGCCCGGTGGTCCAGTGGTTAGCACGTCGACTTCACAGTGCAGAGGTACCGGGTTCAATTCCAGCTCCGGCCTCCCTGTGTGGAGTTTGCATGTTCTCCCCGGGCCTGCGTGGGTTTTCTCCGGGTGCTCCGGTTTCCTCCCACGTTCCAAAAACATGCATGGCAGGCTGATTGAACACACTAAATTGTCCCTAGGTGTGAGTGTGAGCGCGCATGGTTGTTCATCTCTGTGTGCCCTGCGATTGGCTGGCAACCGGTTCAGGGGGTCCCCCGCCTACTGCCCGAACATGGCTGGGATAGGCTCCAGCACCCCCCGCGACCCTAGTGAGGATTAAGCAGTTGGGAAAATGAATATATGAAGGTAGAATGTGCTTTTCAGTTAAATGATTATAATGGTCAGAGGCATTTCAAATAAGTTGTGGAACCAAATACCGCTACCATGTGGGCATAATAAAAAAACAACTAACCAGCGTTGACTTCCTTAGGCACTCCAACATTACAGTGATCCCTCGCTACTTCGCGGTTCGTTTATCGGGGGTTCAGTGCATCGCGGATTTTTTCAAACATATAAAAAAATTTTTTTTTATATATATATTTACCTGTTTATGTTAATTGGTCGCTACTTCGCGGATTTTCGTTTATCGCGGGTGGTTTTGGTCCCCGTTAACCGCGATAAACGAGGGATTACTGTAATCGTAGAGAACAGTGCGCTATCAAAAATACAAAGCATTCAAATCACATGTATGTAGCCAGAGCTACAAAATGATTGCAAGTAGCCACAAAAAAAAAAAAAAAAAAAAGATTGTGAAGTGTGATGGAATCAAAGGAGGCGGCATTTCCCAGCATGCTATGCTTTCATTCCAATTAGCGTGTTTGACTGTGTTATCGTGCCTCTTTGTGTTATTTTATCCAGGCATGTTTAAAGCGGTCTTATTCTTAGTGGTGCACAGTTAAGCTATTTCTACTGTTGGTGACAGTTATTCTCTCACCCTGCGTTACAATGTTAATGCACTTCATGCAAATGTGCATTTGCGTCAGACAGACAGTAACGTGATTGTCTCGAAAAACAACTCCTTCTGATAACAGATTTTTAATACATAATCTGCAGGCCAGTTTCACACCATTTATGAAACGGTTCCATGGGCCGGATGTGTATTTCAGAGAAGGAATACAAAGCACATTAAGATTATGCCGTTTGAACAGGAGCATTACTCTCAAACTTTTTTTTTTTTTCGAAGAGGAAAACTGAGCAGCACGGTAATCACTGATTAGCACGTCCGCCTCACAGAACCGAGGTGCAGGGCTCCGGCCTTCCTGTCTGGAGTTTGCATATTCTCCCCGGGCCTGCGTGGGTTTTCTCCAGGGAATCGGGTTTACAACCCACGTTCCAACAACATGCATGGCACGTTAATGGAACACTCTCAATTGTCCCTAGGTGTGAGTATGAGCGTGAATGGTTGTTCCTCTATACAAGTAAAAATGTTCATTGTGTCCAAAGCTTCAGTGCCTGCTTTTTGAAAACCACGCACACACACGTGAAGAGATCCTTTTCTCACAGAGATACATGAGTGGGGAAGTCCTTTGAATTGACTCAATTTGAACATGTACATCAGTCGCAAATGATAAAATGTTCAACAAACATATTTTTGTGTGCGTAGATGCACAGTGGGACCTTTGATTTGTTTCAGTTCTTCTTCATTTTCACTGCTGCTGAGCGGTGGTTCCTCAGTTGCCACAGTTGTTTGCTGCCTTAGCTTGGACCAAGGAACTCGGATGAGCAGTGACTCGAGCTCGGACTTGCACCCGAAATCTGCTTTCGCTATTCGTGTTCACATTAATAAGCGAGTACCGAATGAGCTGGAACTGGAGACTTCCTGTACTTTAAAAATGCTTCATAGTCGAGCAGATGAAAAATCCAATTTGGTCAAAATGTTCAATGGAATGGCCTTATGTTGCACTTCATATTTTCGCCGAGTGCATGCGCACCTTGTCTCCCAAAATAGTGCCCTGGTTAGGCGTGTTATTCCTGTCAGGAATAACACGGTATTTCTTCCGTCTTGCAGGATGATCCCGCCCACCAACAAAGACTTCCTGATCAACGACCTGGCAGCCGGGCGCGAGTACGACTTGTGTGTGCTGGCCGTGTACGACGACGGCGTCACGTCGCTGACGGCCACGCGTGTGGTGGGCTGCATCCAATTCCACACGGCCAGCGAGGTCAGCCAGTGCCGCTTCATGCACAGCCAATTCCTGGGAGGCACCATGATCATAATCATCGGCGGCATCATCGTGGCGTCCGTCCTGGTGTTCATTGTCATCCTCATGATCCGCTACAAGGCCTACGTCGGGCCAGAGGATGCCAAGGACAAGACGGACCCCGGCGTTCGCTCGCAGGCCAACGGCAGCCACCAGCGGCTACAGCACTCGGCCTCTGGTCAGGCTTCGGACGAGGGCCAGCGCGACGGGCCCAAGGAGTGCATGGCGCTGGTTCTGAAGGTGGAAAATGAGACAAAAGCGGACACCAGAGCCTTAGTGGCCGTGGGGGCGCCCCCTGCTGTTCTGGATGTGGAACTGCCTCCGCCGACCAAGCGAAGGACCAGCCTGCCGCCGGAGGACACACAGATGGACACCCAAACAGACAGTACCCTGACGGGCTCCGCTATGTCGCTGTGCCTCATGGGCGCTAATGCCGGCTCTGCAGAGGTGCCGCGCTTCGTGGACAAGAAGGGCGTCCTGGCCAACGCGGGGTTCCTGGTGCCCAATGAGCTGGCGCGAACTCGGCACAGGTTCTCCTTCGACGGAGGAGACTACTCCATATTTCAGAGCCACAGTTACCCGCGGCGGGCCAAGACGAGGTGGCACCGCTCCACCAACCAGCTGGATGCCGAGTCGTCGCCCCTGGCCAACCGCCGGGTGACATTCAGCAGCACTGAGTGGATGCTGGAAAGCACCGTGTGAGCGGACACGCCGCTGAACAGACAGACAAAAAAAAAAAAAAAAAACGACATCAACCCTTCGCCCCCAACTTGCCACCGCACACGCCAGAGAGGTTTGTCAGTGATCTGTGCATGATTTGTTCTTTCTGTTTTCAGTTGGCAATTGAAAATCCCCCAAAAAAGAACGGGACTCGCGACTGTCCTTTGTTTTTTTTTTTTGGTTTTTTTAATCAAGCACACAGGTGGCAAAACCACCCGTCAGGGTACGTTTTAGATTCTTGCCGACATTTCGGCCAAAGAGCCTGAATTTTTGTGAGTCGAGTGGATCAGGGATAAGAAGCTCGAGCCACACGCCTCATCCATCAACAAACAGTGCAGCTCAGCTTTCTTTTTTTTTTTTTTTTTAACTTGTGCAGTACTACTTGCAGTTGTTCCCTGACTAGATGGAGCCAAATCAAGAATAAGTGCCATGACATAGCATAACAATTGCCAGTATTTAAATTCTAACTGTTGCACTCGTCCGCACTGAGTTTGTCTTTTCTAAAAAGAAAATGTTTGAGCTGTTGAACTTCCCTTTTTTCATGTCATTGAAGCTGTCCCTTTTTTCACAAAAGATAAGCAAGGGTATCGCTTGCATTCGTTTCCTTACTGTACCGGATGTAGGGCTGCAACAAATAATTATTTCATTGACTGACTTTTTAATTCACTGTAATAACTGTGGCCAACCATCATGAGAATGTGGCTCATTTGGAGTTAAAAACAAAAACAAACAAAAAAAAATCAATAGTCATGATTTACTTTTTGAATTTCAATTGCCAATTGAAAACGGAAAGAAGGAAGGATACGCAGATCGTCAGACCAAGTTGTTTCTTTAATGCAGCAGTGCCTTAATTCTCACAAACGGAACAAAAAAAAAGATGAAAAAGTATGAATGGAGGATGCTGCTCGGCGTCGTTGGAAAAAAAAAAACACCTCTCCGTTATTTCTTTGACGAATTGTTCATTTATGGCTGTCCGTGTGAGGTTTGTATGTGTTTCTTCTTTCATTGTTCAAAAAAAGAGGGGGGGAAAGAAGCGCAACTTTCAAATGAACAGCAAAAAAAAAAAAAAAAAGACTTGTGCACAGAAGACACGAAGATACGAGGACATGTATCAACACCGCAGTAATAATTTAAACGGATCAGCAACAGAAAAGCCGTATTTTACACCTTTCTTAAGAGTGAGGGGATTCCTCCTTGCTTCTTATGGGACTGGATGGCGTGAAACAGCTCCAGATGTGACTGTATATTATGAACACTATCTGGCTGGTCTAGATCGAAAAAGATGACAGATGACTACAAAACCGCAAAAGAAGACCTATATAAGTATATTCAAACATTTGATGTATGTGTACTAACTATGTAAAATAAGGAAGTCATAATGTCACATGACTTTTTACAAAAGCATTTGGGTGTTGGCTGCAAGTTTTTACATTAAAAACCTGTGTCATCACATCTCTATATGTCAAATATGGGTCGGTGTGTCCGTTTTATTTTTTTTTTTAGGTTCATGGAGCACACATGAATCTGTGTGTCAACTATGGATTCGTTGGTCAAAACAGTTGTTAAACGTGAAACATGGTTTCATGCGGGTGTCAAACAAGAGCCAATTGACTACACTGGTCAAAGGCAAATTTTAATGAGAGAGGCTGATTTAAAAAACGATTCCATTCGATTTTTGAGGTATTTTCATTGTTTTGTTTTATTTGACCGCAGTACGGATTTTACCATGCGTTGTAATTTATATCTAGGACGTTTGAGGAAAAAAATAAAATAAAATCACCTGTTGCTGAACCTAACCCTAAATATATTACGATATGACATGATTATTATTGTTAAAAATTGATGGGGTAGATTTTTTTTAAAAGGGCAGATTCTGAATCGGCACCAAATACAGATAAAAAAAAGCTTACTTGCATCTCTGATGTAGAAATGTTTAAAAAAATTCCACACTTGTTGGTCAGCACAGATCTTAAATATGAAGCATGGTTCAATATGTGTTAAACACGGGCTCGTGTGTCAAACCTGGGTCCATGAGTCAAACATGCTTCCGTGTGTCAAGCATAGGTGTGTTGGTCAAACAATTGCTTCGTGTGTCAAATGTGTGTCTATAGACCAGTGTGTCAAAAACGGGTCCTTGTTTCAAATGTGGGTTTCTATGTTAAAAATGGGTCCATGGTTGAAACATGGGTCATTTGTGTCAAAAAATTGCATCCTTATGTCAAACATGGGCCAATGTGCCAAATTTCAGAAATGTCCATCTGTGATTCAAACATGGGGCCGTGTGTCAAACACAGCTTTGTGGATCAAAGGAATCCAAAAGGATCTCAAATACGGATCTGTGTACGTCACCAGGTGTTTTATTTGTATTTTTTTTTTTTTTTGTATTTTTCACACATCAAATTGAGTGTATGAATATTTAATCTAGCGCCATCTATTTCTAAGGATGGCACTTGTGTGTGAAAAGCTGCAGAGTTGACCACACAGGCGAGGAGGAGGAGGAAGAGGAAGAGGAGAGAGGTTTTTGGAAGACAGGGAACGTAAACTGGATGTAAGTGGAGGAGCCAGATGGGACTAACAAGATGCAATGGGTTTTTGCTACCTCTAGTGGGAGACAAAGCTGTGTGTGCGTGTGTATGTATGTATACATTGCTAGCTCGCTAGTTAGCTAGCTCGGTAGGTAGATAAATACAGACAGACAGTAACATATACACACTCGCACACACACACACACGCGTAATGTATTTGTGGGTGCTACTTCATAGATTTTCATCTTTCGCTGGGTTCTGAAACCTTCAATAATTTTATTTTATTAATTTTATTACGGTTGTTTGTCTATGTGTGCGCCGCGATTGGCTGGCAAAGAGTTCAGTGTGTCCCCCGCCTACTGCCAGAAGATAGCTGGGATAGGCTCCAGCACGGCCCGTGTGAGGATAAATGGATTAGAAAATGAATGGATAATTGTATTACTTTGATTGTTTCATTATTATGCTCATAATCCCTCAAGAGAAAATTTTTGTTTCAAAGGAAATCCTAAATCAAAAGAACAAGACACCTCCACACGAAAGCCCAACAATCCTAATCTGGATTGGCAACAAACTGCACCCGTAGACTGTGTCGTTGGTGTTTTTGTAACAGATAAATGAATGGAATTGGAGGCTATTGCAATGCCAATCAAAATGGAATGTCAGTAAGGCTTTAAGAATCCCACAAATTGAATGGGTTCTACCATGACTCATATGCCCTCCTAGCATAATCCTGACAAACGATCATAAAACAAAAATAAATCCTCCAAGTGAAGTGAGCACTATTATCTTTAGAAAGCTTCAATACTTGATTCAGCTCTTGTATTGGATCCCACTAGCCTGTATGTTGATGCACCTAATCAAGTGTTCAGTGAGCATATTGTTTGCTGAGCATTTGTGCATGCACGTGTGCGTCAATACACCGTTGACTGTTTGTCATGTCGGTGAGATAATTCTGTCGGTCGCTATCTGCGGTCATTATTCATTCAAAGCAGCGTAGAAATGTGCTTAGCCAGGAGGAGGGTGCCGCTTTACGGGGCAAAGCCAGCCAGCCCAATAAAGAGGCGACTTTGTGAGTCGTCAGCACTTTTTCCTGCTTCTGAGGTTGCACAAAATGTGCCTTGAACCAGTGAGGTTGTTGAGGAGTTTGTTAAATTTTTAATGTGTGATAATGTCAGACGAGTCAAATCTGAGCCACTTAGAAGATGCATTAAAGCGCATTTGATTACGTCCGGTTTTGAGTTAACGTTCTGTTTGGTTAGGGTTATCTAACACACTGAGATGAGGTGAACCAGACATTCATTCATAAAGTACAATTAATACAGTGTAGTTCTATGAATCATTTGGATGTGGAACCTATGTCGAAAATAATCAAGGTATTAATTTAGTCGTTTGTGACTTGCTTAAAAATGACTTGTCAATATGAATTTTTTATTTTTTATTTTACAGCTGAAGAGTGTTTGTGTAAAGCCTGATCCACATTGGGATGTTTGACCTTGATGGAGGTCATCCTCGTCTTTCATCGCAACACATTGCGCAGTCTCAAGTCAATCCATTTTTGTTTATCTCCAAGAGACTTCAACGCACTTTGTTCCGCTTGCGTTAAATGCCTCCTTTTAACCTTGCCCCCGCCTGTCAATACACATTTGAATTTTGTTCCACTTTCTCCGCTCAGCACAGCCCTACTCTCATCTGTTTGGAAAGAATATTTTAGCCTTTTGGCCCACTCGCTTTTCTTCTCTTGTACTTTTAACACTTTTTTTTCTCCGCTCCAGCAGCCTGGCAAGTGATTGACTTCAAGTAGCCAGACTCCTCTCGCCCACGTCTCCTGACCACAGTGATGCATTCTGCGAGGTGAAGGACGGGGAGGGAAGGAGTGACCCATGGCGGATTGCGTGAGAATATGCACTCAATGACGCCGTTTATGAGAGTGGCGAATGTTCAATTTGTAGGTTCACGGCTGATAATGGCGTCATTTAGTCTAATTTCTGAGACATTAAGCAAAAGTGCATCTCGGGAACAGTCGGGCCGTGCAGAAGAACAGAGTACAGCAGTACAACTGTGTGAGTGTTCTTGAACAAGAGGGTCTCTATATTTGTTCCTCTTGATGGGGGTGGGGGAACCGATGGCCATTGAAAAAGAAGGTACGGAACAGGCTCATCGACAATGACATCCTATGCATTTATGTTCGACTTCACTCCAATCCTAATTAGGCCATCATGTTGACTTGTTGCGAATGAAATTAGTCCGTCCCCCCTCAATCAGGGTTTCTGCAGGTATCAGCAAATGTAATTGAATGATTTTTTATTCAGTTTTTAAAACAAGTTAAAAACAGATGTAATGCACACATCCTACCACATATGCACGCACGCGCGCATTATTCTAATACTTCCATACATACATGCATAGTTATGGCTGTCAAGTCTATTCAAATTTTTAATCGCTTAATTGCATGATTTCCATTCAGTCATGATAATCACAAATTAATTGCGCATTTCATATCAGTTCTGAATGTACACAAAAAACACTGTCATACTCTGAACATAAAATTGGAAAAATTGACCGAATAAAAATTTGGTTGTGTATTTTACTTCAGTGACACAAGTCATTTTGTTGAACTTATTTCAACGTTATTTGAAGTTAAAAAAGATATACTACACAGTTAAAAGGAGCGTGAAACTGTTTTGTGTTGACAATTGTTCTGCCCCAACCGGCAGTTGGTTTTAGCGTTTCATGTTGGATATTGGGACAGGAATGATCTGAATGTGAAGAAAAAATAGATCAGCACTGTGTGGGAGTGTATTGCATGAATACTCACTTGTATTGATGCAGTATTACATTTGTTGTCAATAAGATCCTTGAGACATTAGGGGAAAAAAAAACTGAATGTCACCAAACATAAGAAATGCTCATATTTCTAAAAAAATAATACTAAAGAGTTGATCTTTGTCCCTATGATCAAGTTCAGGATTCCGTTTCACCCTTCGGAACTTTCATCGGTACTGTCCTTGCCCGCCGCCCTCCAGTCTCTCTTGCGCTTCTTTGTGGAATCCGAGTGTTTATGCGAATCGTTTTTCCTTTTGCGTCTCTCTCGGTCCTCATATGTCCTTTCCTTTTTCTTACTTTTATGATGACTTGTCGTCCTGTTGCTGTCGTTGCTGCTGGCTGTCTTCTTTCTCTTTCCCTCCGCTTCTTCCTCTTTTTTCTTCTTTTTCTTTTTCTTCTTCTTTTTGGAGCGTTTCGATTTGGACGCTTTACTTTTGTGATCTTCCTCCTTTGTGGTGCTGCTATTGTCATTGGAAATAAGGGCGCAAACAAAACAGGAATGAAAATGCTTGTTGTTTCAAAGTGAGTGCTGTTCCAAATATTTTAGCCATCTAAAATATCATACGGGGCGGCACGGCAGTCGACCGGTGAGCACATTTGCTTCACAGTACAGAGTTTGAGTTCGACTGCATTTCCGGGCCTTCCTCTGTAGAGTTTGCATGTTCTCCCCATGCCTGCGTGGGTTTTCTTTGGGTACTCGGATTCCTCCCACATTCCAAAAACATGCATGGCAAGTTAATGGAACACTCCAAATTGTCCCTAGGTGTGATTGTGAGTGCTAATAGTTGTTTGTCTATGTGTGCCCTGCGATTGGCTGGCAACCAGTTCAGGATGTACCCCACCGACTGCCCAAAGACAGCTGGAATGGGCTTCAGCGCGCCCGCGACCCTTGTCAGGATAAGTGTATTTGAAAATAGATAGATGAATAAAATCTCAAACATCTGTCAGTATGAGGCTGTGCAGCTCTACATGCACGCAACACACTAATAAACAGCCGCTTCAATTGATTAGCTCATCATCAGATAATAAAGAGCCTGATGAGTGTTGTTAACGTGTCAAAAAAAAGGGCTCTCCTTATCTTGGTAGCAAACTGAGCTTTATTAATTTTGTTAAAAGAATCCCCACTGGCGCAATCTCTCCAGTCATAAAACAAACAAGCAGGCAAGAGGGGATATTGGGGATGGGGGGGATAAGTCAGTGGAGCGCCCCCTTCTAATGTGGTGTGAATTAGACCTTATCCGATGACCATTCATTGCAAAAGCGTGACATTTACCTGTCACTCTCAAATTCTTCAGGGTAGAGCTCCTTGAAGCCACTGTGTCCCCACCTGCACACAAAGCACTCTTTGCTCAGGTCATGATAACTCGGAAAGCCACTAGCCCAATATATAAATACTGGCAGCTCAAAATACCACCAGCATAATCAACATTAAAATATACTGTAGTACATAATAAGTTAATGTCCATCAAAACCGAGGAAGAGATTTCATTCCAAAATTCGCTTCAGCACAATTAGCGAGTCATTGCACAAGTGTTTTTTAGCGGAGAGCTCCCAAACTGTATCCACAGGGAATTTGGAAATCCTGCTTTCACTGGTTTCTGTGTCAGAGGCAAACGAAATAAATGCCGGGTCCTGTTGGTTACCTGTCTGGATCGTTGTCCTCAAAGTCATAGAGTTTACGTGTCCAGTATCGTGCCTCTCTATCGTCATGCTCTGAGGAAACTCTGGACGGATAGGATAGTCGATCGCAGTGCATTTGACCTCTAAAGAAATGTCAGAACATTATGCCATGGTTTTGGTGACCAAGCAGTTGACAGTGAAGCTGCTCCTGTACTGTACCTGATTGTCTTGGTGGCGCTCATGTGACTGTGGTTGGACATTTGGACCTCCCAGCCCCGCAACTTCCACATCTCTGACTCTTCCTGGATCTGCAGTAAGTATTCAAAGCAATTTTACACATATCCCATAAGTGTCTTTTGCTTCTTCTTTACATTTTAATGGCTTGTGATAGAGAAAACACGGACAATATGATAAAGTAGTACACACACACACACACACACACACACACACACACACACACACGCACACAACTCTGTCCTGAAAGGAGAGTACAATCTAGTTAAAAACAATAATAGTATTTACACCAGAAAGTGAGTCATGCTGAATTATTAGGATGGCTTTGTCCCATTATGCAAATCAGCCACGCAGTTCCTTGTTTGTGAAACATGTACAGTAAAACGCCACCAATTCATGATTTCCGCCTGTAGAACCCAACTAACGACTATTGTTGCCTCTTCAATTGTTTCTTTTTTTTCTTCCTACTCTTTCTGTAATGCCCTAAAATGGGGCCTCAACACTGCTGATTAAGCTACCATGTTAGTGGAGTAGTACAGTACAGGTATGCCAACGACTGAGAGCAGCGAACATCAGAGTGAGGGAAGATTCCGGTCGAGGTCCGACAGAAAGGTAAGCCCCCTCAATGTGTTGTTGACAAAGTAAGAAGGGTGGTAAACTTCTTAAGATAATCCAGAGAAAGGTCCAGATCGTTACTGACAGTGGTGGAAGTTTAAAAATTAAAATTCAACTGTGTGTCTCCAGCAGTGTACATATTCGACACATTAACAGTGGGGGGTTATGCACTTGTATGATAGAATACTTACAAAACACCACAGGGTGATTGATTGCAACTCTCTGCAAACACCTGTTCCCTCTCCATTTGGTGTCCAACACGTGAGTGATTTTACTGTACAGCATTTTGTTTTCATAAACGGCTTTTCACTTTTTTTTTTTTTTTTTGTATGACACATACAAATGCTATAAAACAACTTTGCTTGCACATTTTGTAAAGGTTTTCACGGTTTAAGTCAAGGTGGTTTTATGAAGACCACTCGTGCTTTTGTCTCCTACCTTGTTGTGAGCATCAGTGTGGCGGATTACATTCCGCAGCAGAGTCTTCCCCAGAGTCTGTTTCGACATGATGAAAAACCTGACACGGGCACAAAAGGTACGTTTTAATCACACACGCCGGTGAGAAGAAAAGAGATAAAGCAACGAGCAATAGTAAAATGTCAATTGTGGTTAGTAGCGATTTACGTGGTTAAAACTGTTGACTAAAGCACACCACAAACGACAAGTTATGATACTCACACTTGATTCGCGACACTAATATTTGAAAAGGCACTAATAACGTGTCTCTTCTGTTAAACGTGGACTTTTACATGACAAAGAAAAAAAAGGCTGAATTAAATTTATACCACTCGCGAATGTCGTTGTGTCTTCCGCATACGTCATTACGTATTTTCCAGTAAAAGCGTGGCGCCTAATGGCTGTGCAACCTGTCAATCGTCATTTGAGCCAATGAGCGTAAAGGAGCGTAACCGACCGTTTAATGCCCTCTTGCGGTTTCGAGGGAACGTGTCCGCTCAACGTCAGCTCAACCGTGATTGGACACTGGACAGGACACGTATGAGAATCTTCCATTCTTCTATTTTAAATGATGCCAGAAATTTCCTTCCAAGCTCAGTGTATTTTAATAATTAAGAATTACGAAATACGTCAAAGTGTAAACTAAGTTCACCCTGAGTGAACTACATAAAACAAAGTTAAGAAGATAAATTTTATATACTGGTACTTATAAATTATAGTAATACTATGGTTTGTTCTTGTTCTGGATTTTGAACAACTTATTGAATGTATTCAAGAAATGTGGTATATATAATGAATATGAGTCATTTGATATAAAAAGTAGAAAGAATAATGATACATATATACAAACCGAAAGGTGTATCAATAGATAAGCATAGTACACAAAAGGGTAAAAGTATTTGATGAAATTTAGATTTCTTCTTTTCTTTGGTATTGGAAATGATCAATATACATTATTGCTCAAAAAGGGGTAGGACTAGATAAGTTGTATACTTCTTCCTACTCCTTTGAACATATAACTGTGATGATGTTTGTATTACTTACTTTTACTTTTATTTTCCTTTCATAATTTTTGTTTGCATTTTGTCATGTTATTGTATGTTTTATATATGTTCAATAAACAAACAAACAAACAAACAAACAAGTAATTTGAGTGTCCACATTCAAAAGTCAATTTGTCTCTTCTCGTGCCATCTTGAAAAATGTATCATTTATCACAGCTCGAAAAACAGTTTCATCAGCAAATAAAGGAAGAAGATTGTTGCAACATGCACAACGTTTGCAAGTCATTCATGTAAGTCAAAAGCAAGAACAGGCCCACAATCGATCCCGAGGGTATCTCCGAATTCTAGATTTGTTTGATGAAATACCATTCAAGAAGTTAGAATTGTATCGTTGACTGTCTTAAATCCTTTGCTTAAATCAAGAAAACTACCAAGAGCAATTTTCTTCCTCTCGAATGCAGATGAGGAATGGTTGAGGAGTTGCAACAAAGCATGCTTCGTGGAGTGTTTCTTACGAAAACTACATTGTTGAACATACAGAATGTTATTCTGAACTCGCTGCTGTGAGAGTCTTGCATAAAGAATTTTTTTTTTCCCGCGTCTTACTTACACAGCATAAAATAGCCATCCATTTTCAACACCGCTTATCCTGGACAGGGTCGCGTGGAATTCCTGGAGCCTATTCCAGCTGACTTCAGGTAGAAAGCAGACAACACCCTGTACTGGTCGCCAGTCAGTCGCAGGGCACATGTAGAGACAAACCACCATTCACACCCACATCCACACCGTCACTGAGTGGAACCGATCCCGCGCTACCCGCACACTAGTAAGACTTCAAGATAAAATAAATATTCAATATTTAAATGTGGTCAAGATGCTTTCTATAAAAAAGTTCATTAATATTTAGGTTGAAATATTAAAAATAGCTAATAATTCCCGTGGCAATTAGAGATGCACATGGTAGTTATGTTTAATTGGTGTAAAGATTATGAGGGGGTCCTTATCTTTGGATAATTTGAAGCCTGCGACATAATTACAGGCTTCTATAAAAGAATGGATGTTTTTCCTCTGTAATTCTATTCTCAGGCTGCATAAATACAGTATAGCCTTAATCATCCAGCTGTTGGCTTCAACACACATGATGGTCTCTAAATACCTTCACTGCATAGATTTCCATGAATCTTTTTTAGAAACTCTGTGCAGGATTACAAATTCCGAACTCCCCTTCGTCACGAACGCGAAGAAGCTGCAGCAAGAAGAGGAGGAACGAAGATGATAAAGGGGAGGGGGTAAACACTCCCAAACGGAAAAGAGCCATGTCTCATAAGGTCCTAGCACTGAGACGAAAGAAGGAATAACAAAGCCACAGAAAGAGAGGACGACGAAAGCAAATACATGCAAATGAGGAGCTGCATCAGTAGTCGCAGACACAAATGCATTGTGTGTGTGTTTGCAATGAGAGGGCAGGCATTGCACTGTGACTGGTGCTGCTGAGCACCAATCTCTCTTCTGTCTGTGATCCCCCCTGCAGCTTGGCACCATCCAGCCAGGCGAGGACGGAAGGAGGCTTTCCAGGGCTTTTTGATTTGGGATTTGTATGAATATGAGAGGATTTGGACCACGTCGCCGCCACAGCCGCCACTGTTCTTTTCCATAGCGCGTGTGAAACGTGGAGATTCATCCGGTTTGCCTCGCTCCCCTCGGCTGTTATGGTCCTGCCTGAGAATCAGGGCATCACCCGGACGTGGGGCTCCGGCTGACCGCAGCAAGCACACTCCAGTCATGGGGGCCAAACAGATGAAATGGTAAGCGTCATTATTCTCCTTAAAAAGAATTTATTAGCGTTAAATAGTACTATAATAATATCATGAGTATGTACCTGACAGGAAGCAGACACGCATCCTCTTTTGTCATCAGTGATGTACTGACGACGAATCACATCATCCATGTCGTGGAACAAGACGACAGTGACATCTTCAGTAGGCTACTTATTGTCTGCCTGTTTACGGCGCCAATGGCTGTGGGTGTGTCTCAGTGAGGCCGGATGCTATCGCCTAGCAACCTCCCTCTCCTTTGCCTCATTCTATTTTGAGAGCACATGTTGTTCAGTGAATAGATAGATAGATAGATAGATAGATAGATAGATAGATAGATAGATAGATAGATAGCAGTCACAGTATTTAGTTAGGTAGGTAGTTAACCACAAAGCCACACAGCTGCCACCAATGCTTTTCTAATACTGTTACATTAAATGTACTTCAACTTCAGAACACCTAAATGGTGACAAGGTTCAGCGCCTCAGCCCATCCAAATCCAATCTTGAACCCAATCCGCTGAGTTAAAATAATTCACCCAAACTTGTGTAAGGGTAAACCAGTCTGCTCAAAATCCACAGCTATCCAGCATTTGGGTTAGGAAAACAACCCAGTATTGTTTGCGTGTGTCTGTGTGTGATGAATCTGAAAGCTGGATATGAGAAAGCCGATGTACTGCAAAGTAAATTCATAGATTTTATTACAAATATACACATGTTTGAATTGTGGAGATACAGCATTGAAATTGTTTGTCACCATTTCATTATTATGATTTTTTTCAGGATTGGCTAAATGCTAGAACTACCTGATAAAGTGACAAAATATGTTAGCTATATTTATTGATAGCCCAGCTTTCAGCGGGTGAACGTTATGCTAGACCGGGAGTCGGCAACCTGCGGCTCTGCAGCCGCATGTGGCTCCTTAGCACCGCCCTAGTGGAACCCTGGAACTTTTTCAAAAAATTTTGAAAATGGAAATACTGTATATTTTTTGTTTTAATACGGTTCTGTAGGAGGACAAACATGACACAAACATTCTTAACATTTTCCAATGCTGTAAAAATGTGTAGAATAAATATTACACTTCAACATTTCTGTCAACAAGGATTTGCGTCATAGCCTGCGACACACGTGTCTATTAGCAGGGTGGGATGCCAGGCAGGTGACTGTTGTAAAAACAAAACCAAAACAACCAAGAAAACAGCGTTTCATGTACAATTCGCCGAGGATATTGGCGAAGAATGGGAAAGAAGCATTTTTAAGCAGTACCGTAAACTACGATAGCATAAACTCGTTCATTTTAGCGGCCGTGATGGCTGTTGCTCCTGATGGCATGCGTGTGTAAGTGTGTGTGTAAGCGTGCGTGTGCGTTAACGGGTTGATCGCGGGAGGTTGGTTGATCGAAAAGTAGATCTGCCGTCAAAAAATGTTGGGCACCCCTGCTTTCCAGATGCACAGCAGGGAAAAAAAAACTTAATCACGAAGGCTCATTGTCTATTTATAGCCAACTTAGTCATTTTGATAGTTGGATAATATGGCTAATATAAATACATACCGCATGTGTTACCTTCATTATGAGGCTTATATAAGGCTTTTTTTTTTTTTTTTTTTTTGCGGCTCAAGACATATTTGTTTTTAGTTTGGGTTATTTTGGTCCAATATGGCTCTTTCAACACTTTGGGTTGCCGACCCCTGTGCAAGACTGATCCATTCTGCTTTTTCATTTAGGGACACCATCCATCCATCCCTTTTCTCAAGCCCTTGAGCTGCAGCCTATCGCAGATGACTTTAGGTGAGCGGTAGGGCACACCCTGGATTGGTCACCAACCAATATAGACAACCATTCATGCTCAACTTCACACCTATGGACAGTTTAGTCATTAATGAACCTAAAATGAGGTGGGGACTCGAGCCGAAATCTCTCAAATAAGAGCCAGGTATGTTACCCACTAGTCCACCCTGCTGCCAGCTAATGCTGAACTAATTTGCGATCTAAAGGACAAAAACAATGGGAATTTGAGCTACGACCACACTTGGCAACTCTTCATTCTTCTCATATGACACTGGTATGGAAATACGAGTTCAGAACAATCCCAATAAAAATAATCAAATCTTAAGAGTGCCTCGTTGCGTAGTGTAGGGAATCCAGCCAAACCCCCAACCCAATTCCATACCAAAATAACAAACGAGTGCAGGCACACTTTTCACCCCATCACATGGGTTGATGCTGAGCTGCTGCTAATCTCATGTAAATCCTAATCTGAAATTGAGGGTTCCAATTTCTCCTCAGTCGAATTGCGCCTCCCCTGTTACAAAGCAGTCGACCAGTATAAAAACAAATTTGTTTATTGAGCATCTGCAGCCACAAGTGGGCGGAGGAAACAATTTAGTGGTGATTCAAGGTATCTTGAAGGTGTCATCATGTCATCAAATCAGGTGGAGATTAGGACGGGGCGGCTTGCTCTGATTTCCTTTGGAGATACACTGGGCCTTATCACTGCAGCTTCTGATAAGACACTCATTCACTTGATGGCTTTTTTTTCGGGGGTAAGGGGAGGTGTGACCTAGAGCCTTTCTCCAAGACAATGGTGGAAAATATCGTAAGGCTCGTCCCAGAAATATCAACATCTAATATTCCACATGGTACCGTGTCAAGTCACCAAAGTCAGATATTGATATTTGAGTGTGAATGGTTGTTTGTCCACAAAACATATGTGGCCTAGTATTGACACCCTTAATTGGTTTCCTGTCAGCTGTGATAGACTCCAGTTCACCTGTAACATCACGTGTAATAGAAATTGGATGGACATACATTTATTTGTCATTCACATCGTGTCCGTTGAAAGTGCGAGTCGTTTGCTATTTATTGCTGGCCTTTAACGGACAAAAGGTATTTGTTAAGAGTCAAATCTGAGTTCTCAATCATAGGATGTGTGTTCCGCCTGTCCAGTAGACTCAAATGTGCAATGCATTCAACCTCATGAGGTCTCCTTATCTAAAATTTTTTATTTTCCTGGGTCACGCCACATGTTGCTAGGCAGAATTAATGGGGCTCAATCATAACTGTCCTATAGGCCTATGAGATTATTTCACACAGAAACACACTATGAATTCCTCCAAAAATAAAGTGTAGAATAATTTCACATATTTAGTATGTCCTCTGTATTAAATATGAAATAATTGTTGGATCGAAAGGAAAACTGCATCCGATGCTTTGAATACTTCCCCAATTTTACGCCACCACTGGGTTGGATATGTGTATAATCATGGCATCAATCAAATTGTGAATTAAATTATGCAATGTCATGAATAATGACATTTGCCGGACTGAAACACCTCAAAAATGAAGTGTACTTTTCATTCTTATTTTGAATCTTTCTCCTCCCAAATTTGATCACAGTAATAATTTGGCTGTTGCTCTGGCATAAATTCAGTTAATGTTCAGTATTTAGCAACATTGCTAATCAGCCAATCTTTATTTTTCGGATCACTTTTGACTTGGTGTGTGTATCTTACATTATTGTGTGTTCATACTTTGCTGCCCTGAGTGATGAACATTCCACACTAATCATACATTATTCTCATTCTGATTAAAAATGAGTATGCTAATGTTAGTATTTTGTGCCCTTTGCACGGGAGTTATTACACCAAAATATCTCTAGACTATCCCACAATAGTCATTTGAATACATGTATTAGGACTGCTGTCTCTAAGGCTTTTTGGTGCTTTAAAAAGACCCAATAGAATCACTTAAAATAGTTCCCTGAGCAGTTAGCTTTTTTTTAATTAGCATTTCACCATAGCAGCATTTTAGTATGGCCTTGTTTGTGTGCAGCATCATTATTCAATTTCATGGGGCATCATTATGTAAAAAGAAATGAATAACTGGAAAGCAGCAACAAAGAGCACATAATGTCTGGCAAGCCGATAAAATCATATAAAGCATGATGCCCACTTTAGAGTGGAAATGCGATTAGCTTAGCCCCCCCCCCCCTCCTAAAAAAGAAAAGACCATCTCTTCAATCTAAATCATCCAACATATTTTTTGCCACTAATGCAATGCCTCTAGATGTTTTGTGGTTTTATCCTACACTGCACTTAAGCCTGCAGTTTTGCTCCGCTTAGCCTGGGTAGCAAGAGAGTTTAAATTTTTTCCATCCTCTCTTTCCCACAGAGTTGTTTTCCCCCACACACATAGGGGGGCTAAAAGGAATCTCTCCTCTAGACATAATACCACAGTTCATAGTTTACAGTCACTTCATCTTATTTCTATCAAAATAAAGCAAAGCGAAGATGACAGCTTGCCTGCCTTGCCTGTCATCAGGCTGCTTCAGATTCACTCCAAGCAGACACAAAATAGTGGACATGCACTAAACGCATGACCACCATCCACTGCGAACCTCAACGAACCCCTTGGCTCACAAGGTAGCAAAGTATGTGAAGAATTTCCTGCGTCATGCATGCATGCATTTCTTCGCGATCATGTTGCAGCCTGTGTCAGTGAAATTGTCAAGTCTGGTCCATAATCCGTTCCATCATGGTGGTTAGATTCCAATCCCTGCTGTAGGAGGTAAAATGATTTCATAAACTTCACGGTCAAACCAAGTTGATGAACTGAGGCTTCAAAATCATGACAAATCAAGCCGTTGTCTCAACTCAAAAATGCTGAAAGTGTTGAAACCAGTAGTTCTACAGGGCAGGCACTCAAAAGACCAAGCCAGCCTGAAGCCCGCTGGTTGTCAATTCGAAAAAACATAAAAATTAAAAAATAAAAAATATATTTAAAATGGTTGACGCCTCCCCCACACCCCAGCTGGCACTTTGACCTTCCTTTGCATGACATTTGCACACTCCCGGCTGACAAAAGGCATTTCAGAGCAGATGTTGCACTTTGGGTGTTCTGCTGTGTTTGAAAATGTAAACATTTGCAATCATCTACCCAGATGGGTTTGATTCAGAATTTCCCTGCCCCTCTGAAAACCATTAAAAACGTATATCAACATTTTATGCACATTACTATATTTGTGGCTGCTCATCTGGCAGGAGGGACAAACTGTCACAGTGCTGCCTGCGCTTGCCATCTGTTTCAGCCTCAGCTCAGCCAGCCCTGTGCGCTCCCCCAAAGAGGAATATGCGGTCACCTGCACCAGCGACACGCCCGGACAGGAAACCATCCGCCATCAGCCTGAGGAGCAGCAGGCAGGACTGGGCCATGACAAATCAGAGCTGACGGACAAGAAGCAGCTCACAGGTTGGTTGGCTCCACATCTCATAATGTAAGACATGCAATACACAACAGTACTGAGAGTCACAGTGCCATTGCCAGCAAGGCCTTCTCTGCTAGCCCACATATCATCAATCATCAAAACAAATCAAAGTCATTTATTAGGACCTAGCTACCTCGCATTGGCTGGAAAAAAATATGTTTCCATAGCTTTGTTATTGATATGAAGTATTAACAAAAAAAATGCTAAATTGGCTGATTACAACAAATTAAAAAATAATTCTTGTGTTTTGGTTTTTCCAGATTAGTTACATTTTTTATTAACACAACAGAATGCAATGGTTTCAAAGAAGAAAAACAATGTTATATTAGGTTTTCTGAAGAGCTAGCTAGCTAGTGTTGAAAAACACGTTTCCATAGCTTTGTTCATGTTTTGAACAAAATGCTAAATAAGCTACTGAGAACAACTGAACATTTGCAAATTGTAGGCATTTTGTCAGATCAGGTGGAACCTTTTTTTATTAATTGCCGCAACAACAAAATTAAACATTTTCAAAGAAGAAATAAATTCACGTGATATGGGGTTTTTTGAGGTACTGTAGCTAGCTAGCTTTGGGTGGAAATTTCTGTTTCCATAGCTTGGTTAACATTATGAACTGAGTGACAAAAAATACTAGGTTAGCTAATTATTACAACTAAGTTGGCAGAAAAATAAATATGAAATAAACACTCTCTGATTTCAGAGGAGGTGTCTTTCTGTGGGCTGTGCCCCTCCCTTGGGCATGATATGCCAGAGGAAGAGAAGTCCTGGGAGGAGCAGCTGGACATCCACCAGGAGCAGCTGGAGAAGGAAATGCATGAGGCCAGGAGGATGGTGTTACGCCTCCAGGTAAATAAGCAACATGTTCTGAATAGGGCCATTTTAGGTTTTGTGAAGTCCTACGGGTGGCACGGTCGACAACATGGTTAGCATGTCAGCCTCACAGTGCAGAGGTGCAGGGTTTGATTCTGGGTCCAGCCTTCCTGTGTGGAGTTTGCATTTTCTCCTCGCACCTGCTTAGTGACTATTTGACATTAATGACAATGACTATTTTGTTTGTCCCCAGGCTTTGCTCCTCAATGGCTCCCTCCCAGAGGATGACCCGAGTGGATCTGTGAGCTTCGGAGACAACAGGGCAAACGGCGAGCAGCAGCTGGTAGCTAGTCCCTTCCCTCCTGTATCCGCCTCTTTGTGTGACCGCTCAGCCCTTCTGTTGTGTTGGTGTTATGCCGCCATCGCTCTTGTCTGGAGAGCGCAAATTAATCTCACTGATCTCACGGGCTACCCTGTCAGCATCCCCTCATGGTAGCTCTGACATTGTCTAATTAGGATGCTCTTACTGTTTCCCTCTGAAGGTTCTCACGCGCAGCTGCCTGGACCAAAGCGTGGATGAGGCCCTTGATCTCAAAGTATGTGAAGTGAATCTAATCACATTTGTGCCTTTGCCCCCCCCCCCTTTTTTTTTTTTTTAACGTCTCTCTTCATTTGTCCAACTCCTAGCGGGAACTCCTGAGACACAAACAGGAGGTGCGCCATATTCAGGCCATCAAGGTAAATGAATGTTGGAAAAGTCATTAGAAAGTATCGACAATAGTTGAATACTGATTTGGATCAGAAAATTGGTTTTGATGTGAAAAGATGTGAGTGAATCGGTCCACAAACTAATTAATGGGTTCTTGAATCATATCACACGTGGACATTTGACAGATTATCAAGACCCACAAAATATTGTTTTTTACTCTACGGAACACAATTTTTGTTGAGTTAGGTCTGACAGCTGTTAGCTAATTTTTGGGTGCGGAATCCAAAACTTTTCTCTATCATGTCAAGGTTTTTGAGCTACAGGATCCACGTTTTTCATATAAATATGATATTATGTATGTATCTATAAATAAAATGGAATAGTTGTTTTAAAATAGATTTGAAAACAAAAAAATGGAAATTGAAATAGAACTTATTTGTACAAGCTAATATATATATATGTGTGTATATATATATATATATATGTGTGTGTGTGTGTGTGTGTGTGTGTGTGTGTGTGTGTGTGTGTGTGTGTATGTTGTTCGATCGTACGTATGAAAAAAGTGTGTTGACTGTGCCGGCGCCATGGCCGTGAAGTCTTGCCATGCCCCCACTTTTAACAGTTGGCAAACAAGAGGGGATTTTCAAAATAAAATGCTGCGCTGCGAGGTGCAGACTTCGACTCCAGGCGCCGGCCTTCCTGTGTGGAGTCTGCATGTTCTCCCCGTGCAGGTGTGGGTTATCTCTGGGTACTCCAGTTTCCTCCCACATTCCAAAAACATGCATGGTAGGTTAATTGAACAATCAAATTGTCCCTAGGTGTGAATGGTAGTTTGTCTTTGTGTGTCCTGTGATTGGTTGGTAACCAGCTTAGATCGGCTCTGGCACGCCCGCGATCTTTTTGAGGTGGCTCTGCTCTGAATATGATGTATTTGGATGTTGAGTATCTGTCTACTGATCTCCTTGTGACCTTGGCTCATTAGGATGCCCTGCAGCAGCGACTGTCTTTGCAAGAGGATGCTGTGCTGCAGCTAAAGCAGGAGCTACTGAGGAGCAACATGGCCAAAGATCAGCTGGAAGGGGAAAATGTAAGACCAGTCATGAGTTTTTGAATTATTTGACCATGTTGGGCCACAGTCACAGCCTGAAGATGGTAAAAATGTACTTTACAGGTCGTGCTCAAAAACAAGCTGAGCGAACGCAACACATTGCTCGGCGAGTATGAGGTATTGTGTCCTAACATGGATGCGCTAATCCAATCTCAAGGTGTGTTATGAGTATGCAGACACATTTCTTTTCATTTCTTTGGTTGCCATAGCAGCAACTCGGGAGGAAGGACAGGATGCTTCAGCAGCAAAAGCACGACGAAGCTCAGCACAAAGCGCAAGATGTTAGCCACAATCGGGTAATGCCATAAAAAGCACACGACATGGGTATATAAATTATATAAACAGTGAGGTAGTGGCGACCAGAACTGCATCACAGTTCTGAGGTTCTGTGTTCAAATCTTGGCTCAGGTCTTCTCCCTGTATAGAATTTGCATCTCTCCAGTGAGATTGAGTGCAAGACAAATGTGGACTTTTTTACAAAGAAATAGGCACCGTTTACCCCATTTGTTGCCAGAATAAATGCATTTGGAACCACATTATACAGTACGAAGTTACTCCAACTCCTAGTATTACTGTATTCTCATTGTCAAATGTGTGACAGTCATTCAGGAGTGAAGGTGGTTACAAGAGCTCTCCTCCAGTATTCCAGCACAGTGCACCCGTAAGTACACGTGTTTCTTTTCCCCATAACATTCCCAGCATGTTGCCAGAAATTGCAGTCGTCATCTGATGTCACAGGGTGAGGAGCTGCAGCTGGTGAGGGAAGCCCTGCGTAGTTTGAGAGACAATTTCTCCGGCCATGACCCACAGCATCACACCCTGGACACCCTTGAGCAGGGCGTGTCAAGCCTCATGGACCGCCTGCACTCGGAAGCCCAGCGACGGCAGAACAGAGGGGTACGCTTGCTTACAGGGAGGTCAATATCACTGGAAAGTGCCTTTGGTGTACTGATCAAAAAATGACTCAGTCATCATGCAAATGTTGCAGAATAATGAAACTAAACCAATCATTTGCATGCATACCAGGAAAATAAGTCCACCCTGTCATCCCTTTAGGAAACCCTCAATGGTATTGCAACTAGCAAATTTGCCTTTCTTCTTGAAAAATAAATATTGACACTTACATTTCATGATATTCATCATATTATGTGTGTTGTTTGAAATTGTCAAGCTTAATTTCTACTTTGTCACAGTGAAATGTCATTGTCAAAAAAATTTAAAAATGTCAGAAATTTTAAATATTTTTGTTCTACAGTCAGCTTGCTGATTGGTGATATTGACTCATGTCAAGAATGACATGTGAGCATTTTCTGTGAATAACGGCACTGACTTACTTCCAGGAATTTAAATCGCCGGGTCGCAGAGCCAACTCTTCAGACCGAGACTCATGGCCACCGAGCTCAAGTGAGGCGCATTAAAATTTGTCATCAGTTTTCTGTTTCATCACTATTGGCTGTGAGATGTTATAAAAGCCTTTTTGTGTCGTATGCTTTTTTTTTTGTTTTATTTGCAGAAATGGCACACTCTCACAGCAGTCCAGGATTGGATGGCATCGTGTCCACTAAAGTGCTGTACTACACTGATCGCTCCCTCACCCCTTTCCTCATTAACTTACCCAAACGGTGAAAAGTAAAAACATTTCAAGTGTTATTCATATGACACTGTATATGTACGGCTGGATGGAATTCAGTACTATCGAAGTTTCGACATGCTGCGTTCATGAATGAAGAGATCCGAAGGTTCAGTGTCTGGCGGCATGTCCTCACAGGCTGGGCGAGGTGACGCTGCGAGACTTCAAGGCCGCTGTGGACCGGCAAGGCAGCTTCAGATACCACTTCAAAGCGCTCGACCCGGAGTTTGGCACCGTGAAAGAGGAGGTGGGAAATTATACCGCCCGGAAATTAAACACGGCAGGAATAGAGCGTGATGTGCTAATAATAGCGTTGCCTGGTTCATCCCAGTTGAAGTTGATAACAGTGAACAAGCACTCTTTGTTTTCCTGGATTATACAGTGCATCATTAAAATATTCAACGTTCTTTACTTTTTGTCCATCTTTTTGTGTTGCAGTCACATTCCAAAAATGTTTTTTTTTTTGTTGTTTTTCCCCAACAAAACTCCCCTTTGTGACAATGTGTGTTGATTTTTGCAAAATCACAGTCGCTCCATAGTTTGTCACAGCCTTTGCCATGCAGCTTCAAATAGAGCATTCTGTTTCCACTGATCATCGTGGAAATGTTTTGACAGCTTCATTGGAGCCCAACTGTGGTATATTCAGTTGATTGGAGACGATTTGGAAATGCACACACCTGTCTTATATAAGGCCCCATCGTTGCTAGGACATCTCAGAACATAAACCAAGCATGAAGTTAAACGAACCGTTTGTAACAGGATTGTCTCAAGGTAAGGGAATGGTGCAGAAATGTTTCTAATGAGCTTGAGCGGTGCTGCTCAGAGTATTGACAGAAACTCCACAAAGATACGCGCGCCAAGGTTGTGATATCTTATTCCAAAACACCGTTTAAGATGCCGATGATGAATGACAAAATTACTGAGCAAAGGCTGTGACCATTTTTATTTTTGATTTTATTTTCTAACGTTTCTAAAATATTGTTCTTCATGTGGTCACTATTTCGTGTTGTTTGTCAAATTGCGAGGAAAATAACGAGTTCAATTTCTTTTGTAGGTATTTCAGGATGGCGCGGTGGTACCGGGCTGGGAAGGGAAGATTGTAGCGTGGGTGGAGGAAGACCATGGGGAGAGGAGGTAGAAGCCCCCCCCCCAAAAAAAAAAAAACTCAGTTGTGTTCACTGGCACAGAACTTGACTGAACACTTGGGACCAATGGACTGAAATCAAGATTGAAATATTTCATGTCAAGCAATACTTGTTAGACACTGTTTACATCTCATAAATGTGGACATGAAATCAGTTATTTTGATAGCAATGGTCCCTAAAAATTTTAATTAAATTAACTGTAGTATTAAGACGGAATGGATCTTCACTGCCATTTTCCACAAGTTCCACATTGCCAAATCGTGGATGTTTGCCACTTGTCTCTTTCAGTGTTTTAATAAACATTATCGCATGGACCATCCATCCATCCATCCTTATCCTCACAAGAGTTGCGGGGGGTGCTGGAGCCTATCCCAGCTGTCTTTGGGCAGACGAACAACCATCCACGCTAATACTCACACCTAGGGACTAAATTTAGAGTGTTCAATCAGCTTGATATGCATGTTTTTGGAATGTGGGAGGAAACCAGAGTACCCGGAGAGAACACGCAAACTCCACACAGGGAGGCCGAAGCTGGAATTGAACCTGGTACCTCTGCACTGTGAGGTCGAAGTGGTCCAGTGGTTAGCACGTTTTGAATGTACAGAAGCTTAAACGTCTTATACAGAAAGGGCATGACGATTACAAAAAAGAAATCTGTAGCTCCAGTAATTTGGGGGCCTACCACTGCATAAATGCAACGTTTTGTTGGATTTAATTCACCCAGAGTGCATGGAAATTGGATCTCCTGCATATGCCTATTCTGTGTAACGTTGCCTTTCAAACTTGGGACTGCACACCCGAAAAACGAGTGCATAGGTCTGATAAATCACAATGTGCAGGCTAAATGAATTTACTTGCATAATACTCCTTGGTACTAGAAGGTGAAAATGAACTGCGCTGCAATTTTGTGCAATCGGGTGTGTCACTTATCGCAGGCACTGTTAGCTCATACCAATATGTGCCATGGAATCAGAGGTGTTGTACCCAAATCAATCTGTCTGTCTGTCTGTCTGCTTTCCTCCCTCCTTCAAAAATTCTACCTATCTGTAGTATGACCTGCGTCTTCAGTCTTAGACGTTACCAATTGCACATTTTCAGTATTTTATTTTGACTTTTACGTTAATCTTTCCCCAGTCCGGAGATGTCATAAAATATCCGCCGTCACCGTAAGTCTCCGCCTCCGCTTATTAAAGATGGCAACGGCGCTGTTTTCATTTACAGCACTTGGGAAGTCCACCAGCAGGTAGTAGATGTCCTCCACCTCTAACATGGCATCATCCTGCACAGGAAACCAACATTTTCATGGCATACTCTAATATGTTGTGCCTCACCATGAAGCAGTCCCTGTTCCTGCGAGATTTATCAGGCCTTACCTTGGACATCTTAAGCTGCCACTCCGACATGGAGCTAATCTTGGGCAGCTCCACGGTCAGCTCCAGCTTGCATGGAAATCCCTCATCAAGGGTCTTCACCTCGAGTCGATACTCGGGCTTCTCAGGCTGCTCGAACGTGGTGGAGGAGATTACCTCGATCAAGCCCTTTTTGCGAACGGCGGGCTGACAAACGATTTCAACCGGCGGCCCTGTGTCGTCTTTGGCCAGCCGCAGAGAGTTGATCTGCTCCAGGAGAGAGTCCGGGCTCTGACTGGCTGTAAATAAGTGTCTTGGTTGTTATCGATGACAGTGGGAAGTGAAAGATGAGCTTGAACACAAAAAAGGCCTGCAGCGGCTTGTCAGGGCGCTGACTTATTACCCTACCTGCATTTGACTGTTTGTCTGTCGTCAGTCGCTGCTGCTGCTGGAAGCCGAGGCGGCGGCGCAAGTCCTCTGGGCCGTTTTTGGGGCAAAGGCTAACGACATTATACTGCTGAGACAACATGAGTCCATGCTGCTGCTGGGCAAAGCTTATAGCTAACATGTAGACCTGGTCCATCCCAGCCTTGTCTTTTTTACAGTCCTCGAGCACCTCTGGGTTAAATGCTATGTCCAGCACTGTGTAAGCACCTAGAAAGTGATAGAGGGGGAGGTGGGCGTTGCATCACCTATACTTGTCTGTGTAAGGGTTTAACATGTACACTTTTCCTGCCACTTGAAACTTTATTTTTATTTTTTTGCAGGTAGCTTCATATCTGACCGTATGTACTAATTGAATATAAAAATCATGGTGCTTTTCACTATGTCACAGTAAGTTGTATGGTTATCATAACCTTTTCCTATTTGTGATTATTTATACATTCTCAATGTTACATCATTTTTTTTAAACGCAAAACTTCACATTACTTATACCATGAATCCCGACCAATCATTTTCGGCATGGTTCAGACCTGCTGTGAGAAGTGAAAATCTACTATTTTTTTCTCAAAAACACCCTAGGCACGTTTTTATCACATTTTTGAAACACCATTTTAAAACAATACAAACACATTTAAACATAGTACATTGCACTTTATTTTTATAAACATGTCTGTAAAAGACCCCCCCCCCCAAAAAAATGCACTCTGTTCTGAATTGTTTAACACCTCTAAATGAAAATACCATCTTCTGAACTTTTCTCATCATCTTTTGATCACAAACCCAAATGTCTGAAGTATATAACAAAAACGAAGGAATTGACCGTACTTTACAAGAGGAAGGGGGACTGTATATGCTATTATATAAACATTTTACCATTTTCAAACATTACACTTTAAAGAGGCACAATAATCAAATGGAGAATAACGTCTAAAGTTTAGACTCTAAACTAATATTGCCTTCCTTGTGAAAAATGTTTCCTTTATGCATTATTTTACCACAATTTTAAGGCTGTGCGTATGTGGTATAGGCATAGAGTAGCGGTCATTCCTTCTTCACAGCTTTATTTGTAGAGCTCTCACCTTCATCTTTGTGTGTTTCCAGGCTTCCAGCATACACGGGTATTGGCTTATTGGAATCCTGGGATGCTGGTACACGCTTCCAGCTGCATATGTTAATGTACAGCGAGCCTCCATGTGGGTCCTGGTGGGAGCACAGAGACAGTTCTGAACTGTAAACAAAACAAGCTTAAGCACTATTTTCGTGGCCAGCAAAAGTCTAACACAAATCACAGTTTAACTGTGTGCATGGTTGGGAGTTTTCTTCCGGCGCTGGTAGACGGGAGTGTTTCAATCCAATGGACTTGGGTCCACTCATTTCCTTTAAATTCAGTCCAGAACAGGGAGCGCAGTTTACATGGCATGAAGACGCAGGGGATCTGCGTGCACAAAGTACTTTTCTGTAATTTCAAAGGAAGTGCAAGAAGATCTCCACTTGCGAATTATGTAAATTTGACCGCCTTCTACTACCGATCCTGCATCTGTGTATGACAACCTCCTCTGTAGTTGTACCGCAGGTGCCTTAAAAATATTCAAATGGTGTTGATAGAAATAATTTGTTGAATGAATTGATTTCTACAATAATTCAGAGGGATTTTCCCACGCTGCTGTCATATTTTGTAATGAAATACGAGGACATCCACCACACACATCCGCGGAGCTCAGAATCTGTCTACCACTGCATCGATCAAATCCACCAAAATCACGTTGCACCACCTGTGACAAAAGTTAAACCGGCTTTTAGCTGGTATAAATTCGAGGCTACTTTCTGTCAAGAAACCGTCAGGTGTGCTGTGGGAGTGTAATAAAAAAAAAAAAACACCCTTGAAACATCCAGTTAGGCGCAGTGCGGTCTGCTATATTCCCCCGAGATGGTAAACTAGGCTTGCCACTGCACGAAAATGAAGATGTGCCAATTTTTATACTGAGCGCATGTGCACCTGCCTACCAAAATAGGGCCTCACATCTCGAAATAGAGACTGAAAGACCATGGCACAGTTTAATGTATTTTGGGCACATGCTTTTACTGTATTATAAACACCAAGAGGTTGAATATAGGACTGTATTCATAATCACTTCCTATCCACAATGTAGTGCCCTGTATTGTGAATGGACACATTAGTCCTGTTTGAATGTACAAAGGGTGTAAGTAATACTGTATCTTATAGTGTCCTCAAAAACTCATTCACTGCCACGGATAGCCATCAAAGTCACTTATGCATGTTAAATGGGAGAGATGGCAGGGAACATTTTAATTACACAAATACACAATGCACCTTGCAAAATATTGAATAACCCGATCGCCGGCCGAAAAGCAATATATCCCATGATGCATTTCATTGATACAGAAAAAAATGATTGAAAGTTTCTTGGGGTACTGTTTTATTTTTTGCACAAGATAAATTCACGAGTTAAGGGGTGAAAATAAGTTGAATGTAAGCGTCACAACGGACATCAAGCGTTTTGCTTGTATTCTTCATAAAATACTGTACAGTATTCCAAAACAGTTTGTTGGTATAATTTATTTGCTCAATATTTAGTAGACAAGGTAAACCAACTGCCGTACTGTAGATGCAGTTTTCCGTAATTATTTACTAGCGGTGCCATTTGGATGTTTTTTTTGTTCGTGTGACGTCATTGTTAAAAGGATCACGGGCCTATGCTAATGAGCTACACCTGCGGAGTCAGTGCGGGTTAGAAATTTCCGGCAACTTACCATCATGTCAGTGCGTATGCACGAGTCAAGCCTAGGTGGGGCGTTGTAATCCATGCCGGACTTCAGCTGTTTCTCCATGAAGCTCCGGTAAGCTTCTGGGTCGTTCTGGCAAAGGTCTTCCAACATGGACCACAGCTGGTTAACCTGCTGGACAACATTTCCCGGGCCGCCGCCGGACGACATTTCCAAACCCAAAGGGTGACAGTTGGACGAAACGTACGTCTCCCGGAACAAATAACGAGCACTGTCAACTCACTAAAAAGGCCAATTTTCTATTATCACACGCGTTTAGTAAAATCGTTGTAAAGCTATACGTCATCAACCGGCGTCAGCTCCTGAAGTTGGAAGCTAATCCTGTTCGCAAAACGAAAATTAAGTTGATGGGCTAGCAAGAAACAAACACTCCCCGTTTGCTAATTCGCCCTAATACAAGCCCAGGACTCTTAGTTAAATATCATTAAAAACACACTAACTAGCCTTATTACTAATAAGTATCTTAACTCGTGGACCCGATTCCTGTAGATTCTGCCTGTGTTGTTGGTTGCTGTGGAAACTAGCAGAGTCGCACAAAGGCCACGCCGGTGGGCAAGAGGAGCTGCAGCTCAATGAACTCCACTTGACACAAGCTGGAATTAGACATAATTCATATTTGGTACAAAAAAAATCAACAGGACATCTTGATAGAAATAAACGGTGGGCCAAGAGTAGTTATCTTTTTTTTTTCAGGTGGCGAGAACTGTGAGAGATTATTTGAAGAACAAAGAAAGTGGATCGAAAAGCAGTATTAATCAGGTACGGAAGCAATGAAGTTAGGAAAATAAAAAGTGGGCCTAGAGGACAGGTGAAGAACAAAGGCAGGAGTTAGGAAAGAAGAAAGGCAGAAAAGGTTCAAGTGACAGGAGGGGGGTAAGGTTGCATGGAGGGAATTGAGGTTAGGAAGGAAGGAAGATGTCAATGGAAGGAAGGTAGAAGTGAGAAAGAAAGTAGGGACAAAAGAAGGGAATCAGAAAAGTATATATCAGAGAAAGAAGAATGCAAAACAAAACTTTGAGGGATGGGAAAGGCTCCGAGCGAAAACTAAATGTCATGAAATTCATTTGATTGATCAAGTGTACACCCTTTACATATCTGATGAGACGTTCACATTAAATAAGCAACATTTATATGTCCACTGTTACTGCTGGTGTTCTTGTGTCAGGGTCCCTCCTCAGTGCGTCTGTAAAGATAAGTAAACAAGATGGAGGCACTTAAATTGGCTCTGTCTGAATGTCATATACACACACACACGCACATGCACATAGACCCTTCTTCTGCTTGGTGGACAGCCAGAAAACTACTTGCTCCTCGTCGTATAGCAGGTGACCGCCGTATCTGTCATGGCGCACTGGCGCATTAAGATCTCTGAATATTTATTGTGAATGCAAAATATTTATTTTATACTCCTTTATTGTCTATAAAACACATTTTTTGCATGGTGTATAGTTACTGCATCGCTTTGACATTACCGCTTGCACCATGTTGTTTTTCTGCTCGCAATGCATTGTGTGATATTAACCTGACTGACCATCGATGCTCACTGGTTTTCCAAATGCTTTGTGGGTAATTTTGAGTGCATGACATTTTTTCTGTTAAGACATTCGGACACCCCTACAAATTGGTGTGACCCCATAACGGTGCACTATCACAAATAGTTTGGACATTTAAGCTGCTGAAAAAATGATTTAAAAAAAATCTATGATTGTGACAATATATTTAAATTAATTGATCAAATCATTGAATCGATCAGCCCAACTATAAACTGCTGCTTTTTCTACACTGTAATGTGAACTGGCATGTATTGTGAATAAATAGATTTACCTCCATGATCTCATAGATCCACCCAAGGAATTTGGCCACCTTGGTGTAGACTCCCGGATGGTTGGGCTCAGCGCAGCCATTCCCCCAGCTGACGACACCCATCAGCCGCCACACATTGTCATCCTGGCATACCAAAGGCCCACCACTATCCCCCTGCGACAGTCACAGTATTGAATACAAACATCATCCATGACCGACTCATCCCGCCTTGGAAACATCCAAACAAGGTACAGTGAGAATCGTGCACCTGACACGCGTCCACTTTTCCCTCACTGTATCCGGCACAGAGCATCCGCGGTGTGATTTCTCCGTTGTACATGCAGGAGCTGTTGCATTTGTTGGTGCTTATGATCGGGACGGGGGCCTCTTTCAGGGTGTCCGATGAATGAACTGAGAGAAACGCACACAGACACCACAGCTCCTCTGTATGCGCTGCCCCTGTAGCAGATGTTTGTCTGAGTGTGACGCCTTCCTCACCGCCATCAGGTTGTGTGTATCCCCAGCCAGAGATCCAGCACTGCGTACCTCCAGGAGGGTCATAGTCAAACTGAGGCAGGCACACAGGGCGAACTGTATCTAGTTTTTGAGTGGGAAAAGTAGGAAAGTGCAACTTTATATCCCAGATGTGCATTGACGTTTATTTATGTCTTTACCTTTTTCTGTAGCACATCAAGTTTTTGATCTTTCTCTCTCTCTCTCTCTGATCTACTGTATAAAAGCTTACGTGCATTGACGTTTATTTATGTCTTTACCTTTTTCTCGAGCACATCAAGTTTTTGATCTCTCTCTCTCTGATCTACTGTATAAAAGCTTGTGCAACACAGATTTTTACCATGCACCGTAATTCATAGCTATGACACTGCAGATTAAAAAAAATAATCCACCTGTTGCCAAATCGAACCCCGAATTCATGTTTATAGACTTAATTTGTATTTTCTTTTTAAATCATTCAAATCTGACAACAACACTCTTTTCTGTCGTGTGTCAATTTTTGATGATGGTTATTTTTACTTCACAGGGTTCAGGTTAAAATTGTAATGATGCACGTCAGACAGCCAAAGGATTTCTGACTTTATTTTACAGTGACACACTCCCTAACACTAATTACCTGTACTCATTTTGGTGTCCTTTTTACATTGTGTGCTACTATGTGTGTGATTTCTAGTATATGGATTTCCGAAAGAGAGAAGTAAAGCTCTTCACTGTTTTATTACTTCAACAATTAAAACAATATGTATTCGTCTTAGCTGTCTGTGCCACTCGTTGCTCCCTTAATTGCACAGTGGGGAGAAAGTTTTCTCCTTCTGAATTAGTTTAAGCTTTAAAGGAGACATAATGTGGAAAAGTGACTTTAATGGCCTATACATGCGTATTTGGGTCTCTGGAATGCCTGCCCACCCATCAAGTGAGAAAGCAAACAAGTCAGTCTCTACTCTGCCTGTTGCTGGAAATATGAAATGGACGGGTTTTGTCAGACAGGGCATCCGGCATTCAAATTGTGCTAAACAAATCATGCAAGTGACTTGTTGTGGCGACCCCTGACAGAGTAAGCAGAAAGTCACAACAACATTGTGAGCGAGCCGTTATGCGCATCTGCCCCAGTGTTATGTTGCACTGCCATGCAGAAATAATGGTGCGGAACTTCTGCTCATGTGAAAGCCTGTAGCTAGCTGCCTTGACCTGTTTTAAAGGGGTGAAAAAAGGTCTCTCCTTTAAATTTTTGCGAAAAATGCTGGTTGCCAGATGGACCTGAAAAATTGAGTGGCGTCCGCAGTTTCATCAGGGCGATGTCGCTGTCGTGGCTCACGTGGTTGTAGTTCTTGTTGTAGACTATCTTCTCCACCGCGTGCCCCGTGGGCTCCGTCGTTTTCGGCAAGCTGCGCGTCACCACGCCTGTGTGGACCGCCCAGCTGGACACCTGCGGCAGCCTGTAGCTGACATTTTGAAAACACAAAAGAGGAGTCCAAGCATGAAAGGGAACACTGTCGCCTGGACTGTGTGCACCGCAGCTGTTTCCAGTAGTTGTAACCTCTGAACTGACAGTGCAGCAAAGGTCAGCCTGATCTTACTTGTGCACACAGTGAGCAGCTGTGACGATCCATTGGCTGGTGATGATGGAGCCTCCGCAGGTGTGGCGGTTGCTGTAGTAGAGGCTGACCTGCCAGGGCCACCTTCCCAGCGTGGCCTCGACTCCTCCGATTATTCTGGCCAATTTGGCTCGTGTGCCGCACTCTTGAAAGGCCAAGAAGAAATGGAACACAAAGCAGTTGAGAAAATATCCGACATGAAACTAATTTTCCATAGTGCGATGGCCTCACCAAAACATTGCAAGGCGATGACCTTGTCAGTGATGCAGCTACGCCTAAATGAAATCAAACTGGTCATGTTTGAAATAACCAACCGCAATATGGGCCAAAATGTCCGCTCACCGTTACCTGAACTGCCACATGTTTTCCAGAGTTCCCGGTTGTTCAGAGCTAATCTGGAGAAAGCCCTCTGTGTAGTTGGGCCCAATATCAGTCAGATTCACGCCTTTGTGCTTCGTCAATCTGTAATTACAAAATTATATGAATTACATGAGTCAGTTTGTCCAGTTTTGGCTTCTTGGGTTAATTGAAGGCTAAATTGTCCAGTTCTCCATCAAAAAAGAACGGAAAGATGATGACGTTTTCAGGAAGTTTCAGGTTTGAACGGTACATTCCTGAATCTGTGCACGACTGAGTGCAGTTGTGCGATGCGAGCATAATGTCTGGAGCCAGACAAACCTCAGATAACCCAGCTGCCTGCAGACTAGTGTTCCCAGTGATGAGTTCCATCTCTCATAGCACACCGGTAGCCAGTTGGGCAACCTTCCCAGCTGGATCTCCAGCAGAGAGTTCTCTGGGCTGATTCTGTAAAACACTGAACCTGATTGATTGAAAATCCCTCCAAAGGCAGGCTCCCGGCCAGCATTTAATTAACCGTCCGCCAGTGAGAACTGACTCGAAAGCAAAATAAAACCAAGACCAAAAAAAAGGCTATGCTAATGTAGTCATGCCAGTCAATGGGCAAGTCTCGAGAGTAAAAAGAAGAAGAAAAAAAATCTGCTTTTGAACAGTAATTTTCTGCTCAAATTCACTTCAGAGATGAACTGTGCCTTCGACGCCAACGGATAACAATAAGCAACTTCACTATCCCTTTCTTCCGTCAGTGACAGTGGAGTAGAATCTTGCCTCCAATTAGCGGTGGAAAAAAGGGAGCGGACACAGACCTTTCCTGGGGTCGGCGATGGCAATGTCCTCTGTCACATTGCAGAAAGAAGTCTCTTTTGTGTCCCCCAGTCCCACTGCACTGTGAGAGGAAGACGGCCTCAGGAGAAATTTGACTGAGTGGTAAAAACATGATGTAATTAATTAATAAGACTGTCAGTTTAAGAGCCATCTTTGAGTTTTAGTCTGTGAAATTCTCCCTACAAATAGCACCGATTCAGCATGCAGAGTTTTAGATGTAAAAATGACAGGACTTTTTAGGGATGAGTTGGGGGATTAAAATGCTAAAAATGTTTCCTCCACTACATCGGACCCCGAATACTTGCAGCGTATCAACCACGTGAATTTGCGGGTGTAAATCCATTTTGTTTCCATTTCTTTTTCTTTGTTTGTTTGTTTTTTGTTTTTTTTTGCAGGGGAGCAAACTCATATTTCATGGAATATGTATATGAGAGGTTTACCGGCGTTTGTAGAATTTTTTTTCTCCCAATGCTTTTCAATTATTCACAGATTTTTGCTATTCGCAGGTCTGCCGCGGTACTTCTCCCCAGCGACTAGCAGGGTTCTCCTGTGTGGTGTTCGGTTGTAATATCATCATTCAACACTAGATGGCAGACATGGCTGAGTTGCGCTTGGACCAGGTCTTATCCAGCACTATTACAATTGGAGCAGGCCTAATATTTTTTTTGCAGATTTAGAAAGACATGCAGGACTAACATTGTACCTCAATAATATTAACATGTTGATTGAGTTGATTTTTATGAAACAATGCGCAAAATTAGTTATTGCAATTAATGTTGGTTTGCTGCTCAGCAGTTTTTTGCCATCCTTCAATCGTAATTTGCATGCACGAAAACCCTTTACATGTATTTTGTCCGTATTTAAAATGGCATTTTTGTCATATATGTGGTTAGGAACTGTGTGCGGTCCGATTTGACCCCCACTAGTCGCACTGATTAGAAATTGGGGCCCCATCCATCATTTCAGTTGCCCACTCCTGCCATAGAGCATCGTTTCACATCAAAGCCACTTTCATAGTGAGATCCTGCAAAATTGCATAAACTGAAAATCCACAACTTTAAACGTCCATGCCTTTCGCACAGAATCCAGTCAACTGTAATCCTGCCTTTGTTATAGCTCTGATACTACCCCGGAATGCGGAAACATAGCGTAGGTGACTTCAATTCCCCCAGCCCATTTTGTGCCATTTATATGCCGCAGGAACATGAAGGGAAAAAATGTGGGGCTTTTACAATTGGTGTCAATATTGCAAGTAAAATGGATTGTCACATTTATTTAGCAATACTATGACTCTTTGTCAGCAATAACTGCCACTGTGTACTATTATATTGCAATCAATAATCGAGCACAATAAAGAGACTTGTGTACGTTGATCAATTTAGGACTGTTTTTTGTATTATCCTCACAAAACCGGGCCAGGTGGGCTGTACTGGGCTGAGCTAAATGTAGACATGATTAAGATAAGGTGGTGCTTATTTATCTCACACACACACACACACACACACACACACACACACACACACACACACACACACACACACACTGCTCACCTAGGAACCAAACGCCGACAGCCAATCCTCCCAAGATTCCAAGTGCGCACACTGCTGCCAGCAGCCTCACCAGCCTGTGAGCTACAGTGACAAATTGATACATCTTGGCTGCCATCGATATGCATGCTCACGAGGCACAAATTACAAGCGCTCTCTCCGCTTGCATGCCATCACCGGCTGGCATTTCCTAAACCTTTGTGCTCTTTCACTCTTGGAAACACAAAGTTCACCTCGTTAACATCACAAGCAATTTAGATACACATGTTAAACAAGCATGTCAAACAAAATGAAGTAATTAAGCAGTGTTAGTATTTACATTTTGCCGCGCTTAATGAATGCTTTATTGTTGCGTTAGGGCACCTGCACAGTCTAATAAGCACCGCTAAAAACTGGATCAACTTTCAAGTGAAAATGCCGCTCAATTTTGATCGACATAAATCTACAGGATTTATTTAGCTATATTTGAAGTGCTCTGACAATCCAGTCAAAGCAAAGACAGATATTTCAAGGCATGAATATTGTAAACGGTGCAATGCTATCTTCACTGCTTTCTCAGTTGACTCTCAGTGTTGATGCAAGGGCTGAACGACAGTTAGCGTGTCTTTTCAAATTGAAAGTACATGCTCGGTTAAGTTTTAGCTGTTTGAGGTTGTTCAATGGTGCCCAGGTGTTAAGACGGTAACTTACCATGCGTCGCGTTCTGAAATCTTTTCAAGCAGTTCCGCTCTCCCCTGCTTTGTTCGACAACTTCTGCCTTCTCGGCGGGAAAGGGATGATTGATGGCTACCGGGTTCTCAATGACTGATAATGTGTCTCCATCAGGACTCTGTCGGAATAATACAAGGCACATCACACATCACCTGCGCCTTGACCAACTTTAACTGGTTCCTCTTTCTAATAATCTCAGTAGCATTCAGGTTACGGTGTTGTCGGCCTGCTTCTCCATTCTTCTTGACAGTGCGGCAATAAAGCTACTCGAATACAATCAAGCTAGCTATCGGGAAGACACATTCTAAGTAATTCCCCACCATAGTCTACTCCCATGTGAAAATATCACTTAAGCTCCGCAAAACATGTTCCTATGGCCTCTGGAATAAGCATGTACGGTTTAGCTTTCGAGAATTATACATGCAATTCTATTAGATGTGACAAAGCGACGTTCCGCGTGTATAAATGCATGCAGGTCAATGCAAAAGTGCCAGTGAGTCTCTTTTCTTACCATTTTGTTTGCAAGCTCATCTGCAGACTGCAGCCGAGCTACAGGCGACTGTCAGCCCGGTGTCCGGTGTTGGACCATTTAAGAGAATGCAACTGTGGATTTTCCCTTCACAAAGAGAAAATTAGGTCAGCAGAGGTGCAGTGAATGAGGCTGTTGTTTGTCCAATGAAAGGGTGGGTCATGAGGCCTCTGAGACCGAACTGAAACCTGGTCTTTGTCAGGTGCTGCACGCGTTGCCAAGACGACACTGGCCTGCTGGGTAACACGTTTTACCTTTGCCATGAGGACTATTTACCCAAAACTTGCAATGATCTGATAGTTGGCAGGTAATGAGCAAAGGTTCATGAGTGGAGTTTGTTGAAAAGCTCTCTTCCCACGTCCGTGTTCAGTCGTTTGAGATCCAAAGCCATCGTCTCTCAGCACTGGCGAACAAAATGAAGTGTGCTCCTCCATATGCCTGGTGACAGATGAGACTTTCTTTTCCATCTCTTTGCTCTTTGAAAAAGCATCTAACCTTGGTCTGTTTCACATAAAATCGGAGTGTTTCAAAAGTGGATCGTTGAGAATAATTAGCAGATGAGTACTCTGGCACTTGGGAAGGAAGTGAGAGATCAGAGTTTGTCTTCGCTTTTCTAAAGAGTCCTTGGTGTTACCTTGGTAGGAAATAAAGGAATGATTGATTTGAAGGTCTTTTGCGGTTAGCCAGGACTTCCAGGTAGCCAGCATCAACGCCAGAAGGAACATTCGGTCGTCAGATGGTGGGTGTGCTGTCAGTTGAATGTAGAGGAACCGAAAGAACCAATTTAGGAAGAGGAATGCTCCAGGGCAATGACTGCAAAGCTACCATCTTGATCGGGTGGGTTGTGAGAGACAGGAAGGGGAGGTAAGGTGAGAAAACAATGCGAGTCGTGGTTAGGGATCAGTGTGAGTATGGTCGGTCGAGGCCAGTGCCATCGAAAAGCAAGGACAACGTGAATCGGGCTTTGTCACATTGGACAGTCTTCTCCTATGTACAGAAAGACTGTCTGCCCCCCTCAGGCGGAATAAATAAGATGGTTTCACAACAGAAGTGGCCGATAGCTGAAGGCTCTTCCTCCCATTCTGCCTTTGAACACTCAGAGAATCACAAGTAGGCCTGAATTCTGAGAACGCAGTGTTCCAGTGGGCTGATAAGGCCCAGTGAGTTCTTTCAGATACTGTGGCGCTTCAACATTTTCGAGCTTTGGTACAAGGAAGGATTTTAGATTCTCCTCGATTTTACAGATCAGGGTTTTGAAACTGGAATATTAATGTTTGTGTGGTCAAGTCATTTATAAATTAATCATGACCATTTCACTCCCCATCGGCTGATTCACCAAATATAAAAATTAGCCTTTCACCCACCTCAGTAGTGAGTACCTACATAAGATGGGAATTAAAAAAAAAAAAAAAAAAAAGATTCAGTTGTTGCCAAAGTCCATCCAGTGCTGAGAATTTTGTATCTAACTTTGTCTTTGGGTTTAGCAGTGTTGATTGAATATTTAATAGGAATGCTACCTATTTAATTCCTTCTGGGCATCAAACAATACAACTGTAGATCGTCTTTTTTTTTTCTTTTTTTCAAGGGGAAGTAAACCCAATATTTTCTTGGCAATGCTTCATATGCCTCCATGAGTCTGAACACAGCATTCTCCTTAATATGGTGTTTGTGGAATATGAGTTAAGCAGCAAAATCTAATTGTTTTTTTTTCCATCTCACTGGGAGGCCATTTTGCCACTCTCTGTCGACTGAAAATGACATCACAGTTGCTATGGTAACAACCAATCATGACTCACCTGTTTTCTGAAGCTCAGCTGTGAATAGTCGTTGCCTGAGCCCTGAGCAACTGTGATGTCATTTTCAATAGACAAAAACTGGCAAAAATGGCCGCCCCCTTAGTTGGATAAAATGGGTGGATTTTGCTTCGTAACTCGTCTCCCACAGAGGCAATATTCATCAGAATGAAGTGTTTGGAATAAGGGAGGCACATAGAACACATTACTATCAAGAAAATTTTGGGGTTGACTTCTACTTTAAGCAAATATGTCACGACGGCATACAGAGAATTTTATGAGGTGAACATAACACTATCTGGGTCAAGAAGGACCAGACATTTGGCCTTGTGATCTTCCCATCATGGGATTTAGTTTCACAAGTAAATCCTCCCAACAGCAGCCAGCACATCATGTGTCAATGTGGGCTGAATCCATCCATTTATTTGTGTACCTCATTCAGGCTTCAACAGAGAGGAGGCTGGCTGGGTCCCAGTTTGGAGCCACATCTATCCCCGTTCAGACGGAACTATTTTCCCTGCTCAGCGTGCAGAGATCTGCTGCGCTCTCATCTCAAACCATTACTGTTGGTGCCTTTTTCCGTATCCAAACTTTTGAACATCAGTCACAGTCTCTGGGTGCCTGCTCGCTAATCCCCCACACCAGGTTCTGACACAACAGGAAATAGGAAAGCTGCTTTAAAAGGCTGCTTGGATGACATATGCTTGACTGCTGGTGTTCAAGTCCTCTGAGAAGCTGCTGATTGTTCCGTGTGTTGTATTTTATGACGGCGTTGACCGTTACCCTTTCATTCGAGGTGACTGTTCAAGGTCGGCCTGATCACAAATGCATACAGAAATGTGCACGATCCCTTGCTGGTTGTGGAGTTTTGTTTATTTAACTGTATTTATCTTTCATGATACTATCAGATAAATTGTGAGTAAATAAATTACTTGGCTGGAGATGACACACGATCACAAAGCCCTTGCATTTTCATGGTTTTGAGACATCAATTTCGACTAATATTCCACGGATTTTGGGGTAGCTTTCATGAGCGTATTGGAGAATATGAGATGGAGAATTACTTTCAGAAAGAACATGGTCATTTGGAGGATCAAAGTAATGAAAGGCAAATGGCCTTCAATCTGCAGTCCAGTCCGGTGCAATCCAGTGTCATCGTTAGATTTCCCATGTATTAAGCCAGTAAGGTTTTTCGAGAGTTGAATGCATTAAATTGGTAGTGAATTTATTTATCCTGAAGGAAAACTCAGGAAAGATCATCTCTCCAGTGGCATCACAGTAATCAGTCTTTGCTCTTCAATTTGCTATATTTACAGTATGTCAGAAATGCGTCATACATAAGTTTTCCTTTATAGACTATGTGGAAAATTAACAATGAAATGCTAGTCATTAATTGAATGTGACAATCTCTTTGAATATGTACTCTGTACTCTTGTTTTCAATGCCAGCAAAGTTTTGTTTTGGCCAGCATAAATGTTCTTGTGTGAGTTTCACCACAGTGGAGCTCAACTTTCCAAAGCCGATCTCATGCTATGCTTCCGAAATGAGACGGAATCAGCCGCAGCATATGCGGCACTCCATGTTGAAGAGACAATAAATCAACAAGCAATTCCTCACAAATCAACAGCACTCTGAACACTAATTGGATCCCCGTACCTGTCATCAAAACACGAAGAGCAATCTTAAACATCAATTGCCAATAGATTACTTTGGCATATGGACAGGCAATAAGCCAGTCTAAAGCATATACCGGTAATAGCAAAGCTCACTCCTTATATGAAACATTGAATGTCGACTATAGGCGGTAAAATTTTAAGTGTGCCATCCTGTCTTCCGGATTACATTTGTTACACAGTGATGTGGTCTTCGCTTTGACGTAACGTTTGGAGATGGGAGGCCACCAGCCGCCGCCTTTGATTATGACAGTCAAAATCTTTGGATCGATAACAGCCGTATGTTTTGAAGATGATGTCAAAGGATGCCCTACAGTCATGTCAAGATGTATGGCCATCTTTAAACAGGCTTAATTTGGGATGTGGATGTCTTCTATTATGTGTGTGTACATTTACTGCATATGGTGCTAAAATTGACAGATTGGCCGAAGTGCAGCTGAGGTTGTTCTCTGTAGTGCCATGATGCCTTGCACCTGTGTGCGCAGAGGTAATAAGGGTGGTGATGGGCAGTATTATAGTGAATCCTTTGAGTAGACTGCCATCCTGTGGTATGTTTGAGGACATTCCCTTTGCGGTGAGTGACCTTGCAGGGAAAGCAGAAAAGACCAATATAGTGACTGTTTTGTGTTTTTTTTTTTTTTTTGGTTAGCTTTACTGTCTGGGGAGAGAACATCTCACTGTGTAGTTGTTTGAGCTCTACCTGAATGCGGGCATTGGCATTTTGGGCATATGACGATGCCATTACAGCACCGTGTTGACAAGTCGAAGCGTGAGACACACAGCTCAATAATAAACTGCTGTGTCTGTATTGAACGTGGCAGGTTGCATAATTTGCTGTCATGTATGAGTTTGTATCGGTCTAATGATGGCTGAAGTCGGTCGATGTGGGCCCACTCCCACACCAGATGGCGGGTATAGTGTGTGTGTGTGTGTGTGTGTGTGCGTGTGTTTTTTTTTTTTTTTGCCCACCATGTTCACTCTAATTAAACAGAGGAGATTATGTTAGCGCTGACTCAATCTGCTCCTGCACCCGGCGCATGTCCTTGGACTGGTGATAGAGGTGAATGAAGTGACAGAGGTGATCAACTTCTCGATCACAGCCAAAGATTTTTCTGTACTTCTCACTGTGGTTGTCGACAAGGCCTGCAACGTCGGCTGTTGTAGAGCAGTATGTGGTGAATATACGGTCTGTTAGGGCCCACTGGAACTCAGAATCAACAAATGTACTTTGCAATTTTTTTTCTAATCGAAAATTTGTGGTTCTATGGTTATCACGCGTTTCCTCTTTTTTTTTTTTTTTTTTTTTTTTTTTGTCGCCGCTGGCATCCTCTTAATTGGCATCACAACATAAATAAAACAGAAAAATGCCCACAGGCGCAACACTGACACTGCATCTATGGTGTTGGATTTTTGCGCAATTTCAAAATGTACATTCCTCCCAGAATTTTTTTAGCTCTTTCGAAATTGTTGACATTTTATTTTGCCCTTACATTGACTGTGAGTTCAGTGCCTTAGTGGTTACATAGTCACACCAGCTGCCTGTCTTAAGACAATAAAAAGAACTAAAGTTTGGTGGAACAAGAAAATGTTCTTTTCAAATTAAAATACTTTCTCCCCCCTCCACAACCTGGCCGGGGGTCGGCAACCCGCGGCTCCAGAGCCGCATGCGGCTCTTTAGCGCCGCCCTAATGGCTCCCTGGAGCCTTTTTCAAAAATGTTTAATTAAAAATTGTTATTTTGGTTAATTTCATGTACAATTCACCGAGGGCACTGGCTAAGAATGGGAACCTGGAGGGGCGCGAGGAGCGTTTTTAAATGGTATACGTGAGCTACGATAGTTAACACGCTGCAAAAGTGCGTCCCATGACTCGATTACCTTAGCGGCCATTATGGCTGTTGCTCATTATGGCATGCGTGTGTGCGGTAACGGGTCGATCGCGGGAGCTTGATTGATCGAAAAGTAGATATTCCGTCAAAAAAGGTTGGGCAACCCTGCTCTACAATATGCACTGCAGGAAAAAAAACATTTAATCATGTAGGCTCATTGTGTATTTGTAGCCAACTTAGTCATTTTCATAGTAGGCTAATATAGCTAATATCGATACATACAGCATGTGTTGCCCTCATTGAAAGGCTTATATAAGGCTTTTAATTTTTTGCGGCTGCAGACATTTTTTTTGTTTTGTTTTCTTTGGTCCAATATGGCTCTTTCAACATTTTGGTTTGCTGATCCCTGACTTGGACTAACAGTGCTTCCAAACTCGAAACTCACAAAAGGTGTACAATAAGATAACTATTGAAGTTTTAGCTGTTTTTGTCAAAGTGCATGTGAGCAAAGAAAAACGTTTTCAGCAATTTTTTTACTGAATCCATTTAAATTAAACCATTTTCACAATTAATTTTCCCTTTCGTCTTTTCAAAATTCTTAAATATTTATTGTGAGTCTGTTGCCATCTTTTCTATGGGAAGTCACTACCATCTAGTGGACTGCAAAAGGAAGTGTAATTTCTTACTAACTGGGAACAAAATTACCGGTAATATTGGATTGTATTTTAATTGTGTGACAAAAATGCATCAGTGATTTTCCACATTTTATTTTTGAGTGCTGGTCACAGTCACCTCTGCCATAGTAAAGAGGAATATTCTATTACTCCGACATTTTTGCACAATGCTGCTGTGCAATAATGTCCTAGGGTCAGTATTAGCATAAAAATGCATTTTGAAACGTTACCCCTGGGCAAAATATGCATTATAAAACAGGATGGTGATTATGGGAGCAATGCTCTCAACACCGCAGCCTAGGTTGTGTTGCCATTTTGGGAGAAAGTGGATTTTGCGCTTATTTCACGGCTTAACTTTATGAGAACACCGGGCGATGGAGAAGGTGACCGAAGGACATCATGGCACAGTCTTAAAAGTATTAGGCAAACCTGCATGTGCATGAGGGGAAACAAATATTCAGAAACCGCTGCCAGCACTTGTAATTAAGAGGTCTGACTGAGCTTTTCCGCTCTCACCGTGCTGCACATGGAGCTTTGGGAGTCCCGCAACACTAATTTTGAGCTCCTTTCACATCTGGATTAAGACGCAGGCCAGCTGCGGCTCCGGCACGGTGCCATCAGGGGTCAGCACAGAGCCTCGGGTGGCTCTATCTCTGCACATAGGCCAAATGACACAAATAAGCCACTGGGAAACTTTATGTCAGCAGCCAAAAAAGTGTTAAGGGTGGGGGCGGGGGATCAGCGGGGGTTGTAGGCCGGGATCATGACTAAAGCTGTGAAAGTCTCAATGTTGAAGCTGAAGTAACGGACTGGATTTCACGACTGTGTCCCCACTTTGGACACCAAATATATACAGTGGAATGGGACGTGATCAGCAGTATGATGCGATTGCAATCATTTTAGAGTGGACTGTAGGCTTCGGCTAGACGCCAGGAATATTATTCCAGATTTTATTCTGGCCTCTGACACTGTTTATTGTTGGAATGGTCCACAAATGCAAACTTCATCCTTACAGATATGACATCCGCAGGGCAGATTGTGGCACCACACCTTACAGTTTATGAAAATACAGCCCGGTGTTTTGATCAGATTTGAAATGATTTATCGTCCAACATCCTTTCGCACATTTTAATATATTTGCTGATCAAACAGACAGAAAAGATGGAATGCATAGAATAGTAAATTGTTTTAATTCTTTTTTTTTTTTTTGACCATGCCATCGAACACTGACGCATACAGAGTTGTGCCTGAATCCACACCGAGAGAACACTTTCACACACGGGTGTTAAAAAGCTGCAATGAGGAGGGATTTTACTGCACACATGGCAAGAAGAACAACCCTGATTGGACACCAGCTCGAGCTTTGACCTGGCCCTGAGGTAGACAGACATCGACATATCTAAACGATGCGAATCACAGCCTTCTAGGACACACCAAAATAAAAGGACATCTGCATTATCACAATATACAAAGATTTAAAAAAAAAAACATTTCAAACAAAAGTGCTCTATTTCTTTTGGTCCACTGACTAAACTGGTTATAGTGCATGTTCATGGATAGAATAGATACAGTGAATGTGTGTCATGGCATCAAGTTGCCAGGATGTGCTGTATATTCCCCCTCCCCCCACAAACTCCCCACAGTTAACTTTCACTCTAGACAGGAACGCAATTTGAGCGTTTTTTTACATCGCCCTTGCTGGCAACTTGCATCACAGCGCCAGCGTCACAATCACAGTATGTTGCTTCCAGTTGCAATGTTTCCGAGACGTGGATCCCAGCTCGAATTTTGGGAATGAGAAACAACAACAACAAAAAAAAGAAACCCACCAACAGCACAGACCCACGTACTCAAGCATGTCAACGTCCTACTTAGAAAAAGAGGCACAAGGGAGAGGAGGGGACTTTTTTCTTTCTTTTTTTTTCCATCGGAGACATAGAAAAAGCACACGATAAAGATGCTTCTCAAATGATACTAAATGTAAACAAGACAGCAAATTACTGTGATACAAAAATACAACATGTTTTAACTCTATAACGCCCGTGTTAGGCTCACACAGGGAACAACAAAGCAGGACGGCCTGTACATGACATACACCACAACTAACACCAATCACCACTTGTCTGGATTTTCTTTAAAAATAACAAAAAAGCAGTTTGCTTTTAATGTTCTATTTTTGTCCGTTCTGTGATTTATAAGATATCTAATTATAGACAGTGATTAAAAAAAAGATGCATCAAAGCCATGTTGAGGTGCTTTACATGTTTTTTTTCCTGCACTGTTTCACCATTTAAAGTGTGACGGTAATCGTTCGGAAATGAAAGCCACAGACGGAGTAACACTGTTTGTCAACAAACGGGGAGAAATGGTGGGCAAGTAGAGTTTGCTCTACCTGAAACTGGTGGTGATAATCAGCACATATTTGGTAACAAACAACATATAAATAGCAAAAAAACAATTACACTGAATAAAATAGAAGCCTGCTACCTCGGAACCCATAACGCCATTCGACCATCCATGACGCTATTTGACCATCAAAATGATCATGAGGCCAAGAACCTGGTATCCATTCAAGTACAACATGCACAGGAACTAAAAAAATAAGAAAATAATCATAAAAACAGCCGCAAGGAAAAACACAGTCACAATAGACTGGGGAGAAGGTTGCTCCCCAACCAATTAACGAATCTTTTTTTTTTTTTTTTCTCCTCCAAAGATTTTAACAGCACAATCCAGGGAGCAACTCAGACAGGTCAACAAACCAAGACATATTTACTCTCAAATTGAGTAACAGTCAATAATTATTCTACCTTATTAAAGGTGACTTTTTAATAATGCAACAACCAGACACCGCCCAGAGTACCTTTTGCTTATTTGGCAAATTAAGAGTCAAGAGACGTCAACCTTAGTCTTAATTCTTTAGAGGTTCGGTCGGGATAGACCAATTGTCGGCGCTGACATTTTGACAATGATCAGCATCTGCCTTTTTTTTTTTTTTTTTAAATCTGAAGGCCAAAGAGAAAAGTGGCTTGACTTTTGAGAACCGACTTGAAAATCTCACTTTTTAAGAAATGCTGCTGACACTGGGAACTCCCTTGCAATTTTGTATTTTCTAAATAAAATAAGTGAAAATTGAACGCTTTGGTTTTATTGAATTCTAAACTTTATTTTCTGTCGAACTTCAGATAGCTACTTACTTGTTTAGGTTTTCATCTAACTTCAGACATGCTGCGAGCTCCCTGCACTTTTATTCGAATTTTAAAACAGCGAAAAGAAAAACCTTTCATGTGGCAAATTTGGAGTTATTTTAACAAACATGTTTCATGGTATTTCAGCAAAGGAGTTGGACTTGTTATTTTAGTTTTCTTTTTTTAAATTATCAGTCGCAGCGTTATCAGGAGCAAAAATGGCAGCAAGGTTTTTGACAAGCAGACACATTACACCAATTACTAATAATCTCAGTGACTGCGTCTACAGACGTCTTTGCTTTTACTGTGACTTGAAATCTTGAAAAATGTCTTTGTAAAGAAACTCAAACCCCCATTTTTACGAGATTGTTCTTGTGTAAACGCGTCCGCACTCGCCACTTTTGTGTGGAATTCTGTGAGGTATGTTTGAGGAAATGGAATACTCTCATAAAGACTCTTTGGGTCTCAATTGAACCAAGTCGGCCTGCCGGTACTGGCTGGCTGATGTAGTCCACTTTCTCTGTCTTTGAACTTTTTCACAGTTTTAGCACATTTTTGGGGTGTGGCCACCGAAGACTTTCATCATGACATGGCACAAATATTTTCATAAATTGCGTTATTGTTTCAGCGCTAGCATGTTACCTCTCCCGGGATGACAACTCTCAACTTTGCATTTTTATATTTGACCCAGCAAGAGTCACTATTAACTCAGCGAATTTTTTTCAACCATTATTGTGCGTCTGCGCCCACTCCCCACTCTCACTCTCCCGCCCCCGGGTCCAAGACCTGCTCAGACGTAACAGACATACAGATAAGTCTTTTCTATCCTCCAGTCTGCCGGCACTTCCTCCGGTTTGTGGCCTTTCATGTGCTTCTGCATGGCAGCCAGGCTTGGGCAGAAGTCCTGGCAGATGGTGCACTGGTACGGAGACGCGCCGTTGTGCGTGCGCAGGTGCTTGATCATAGCCGAGTAGTCTCTGGAACGTTGGTGACACAGCTTACACTCGAATGGCTTCTCACCTGGAAAGAGACATTTTAGTGGCATTCAGGTTGACGGTGAGCCACGTGAACACTATCTCGGTCTAGTATGTATGAGCATGAAGAGTAAAAATCCATTTGACCCCCCCGCCACCCTCAAATTCCAGTATGAACTGTATGTGCTTTACTTTGTGTGTGTGTGTGTGTGTGTGTGTGTGTGTGTGTGTGTGTGTGTGTGTGTGTGTGTGTGTGTGTAAAGAAAATGACATCCGACGCTTAGTCTCATCCAAAAAAAAAAAATTGTCATATCGGCCACCCCATGCTAAACCAGATAACAATTTTTATTGTAGTATTTTACAATAATATTGACTAGGGATGTTCCAATGCCTTTTTTTTCAGACCGACACCGGTACGAGTATTCACTCTTAGAGTATGGATAATTCTAGTAGGTATGTAACTAAAAAGATATGGCTTTATTAAAATTGCCACAATATCATCGGCGTCATGTCACAATAATTAAAATCTGTTAAATTGGCCAGGTTATTTTCCTTTTGTGCAGTTCCAGCACCCTCTGTTGGTTAGTTTATTAGTGCAGATTAATTTGAATGCGGTATGTTTTGGCCACATACGTTCCAGACCCACGCTAATTGCAAGATGAAGGAGAATGTAACACGTTTGAGGCCCTGTAAAAATTGACTCAATTCATAATATGTGTGCATTAGCAAGGAAGTGCCTCAATTTCAACTGTTATTCGTGTTCTCCGCCAAAAACAGCATTGTGAACTACATAGACCAAGACAATAAAATGACTGACCAATCCTATTTCTTTGTCACTGCTATGTACAAAAACGGAATACAGTCATACCTCGGTTTTCGACCCTAGTCCGTTCCAGAAGGCTGTTCGAAAACCGAAACCACGCTCTTTAAAAAAAAAATCTTTATTGAAACGTCTTATTACAATGGAACGCGACACGAGGAAGCGTCACTTCCTCGTCTACCCGAGGAAGCGTCACTTCCTTGTGTAAGGAAGGTGAGAGGAGTCAAGTGGCGCATTCAAGTGCGCTCAATTTGGTCGAGAACCGATTTTCGGTCGTAATCCGAGGCATAAAGAACTCGACATTTTTGGTCGAGAACAGAGACGTTCGAAAACCGGGGTTTGACTGTATTGTGCTTTTTTGTTTGCTTTGTAATATCTGAAGTTTTGATACAGTTTCTTGAGCATTTTTAATTTTGCTAACTTTCCAGTATCGTATTGTGATGCTGGGATATCGTTACATCCCTAACGTAGACTTACCCAATGTCAGTTATGCTTTGCCTTAAGTATCTGTGGATGGTACCAGCAGCCTTGATGATTATCCCATACCTAAAAATAAGACCGGTATCGGCCCGATACAATCCTGGTATCGGTACTCACCCATTCCTAGTATTGACTTAAGTGCAGTCGTCTACACTAATCATCTGTCCAAGTCAAGCACAGGTGCAAGTTTGTTGTTCATAGTATCTGGATGAATACACCCATGGGGTGCTAATGCAACTGGGTGGTGATAACATCCCTAACTGAAACATTCTTCCTTTTGGCTCTCACCTGTGTGCACGCGGTAGTGCGTCTCGAGCTGGTGTTTGAGGCTGAAGCGCTTCCCGCAGCTGTTGCATTCGTAAGGTTTCTCTCCCGTGTGGATGCGTTTGTGTCCCCTCAGGGTGCCATCGTCTCGGAAGCAGCTCCCACAGAACTCGCACTCAAATGGGTGATCGCCTGAAAATCAAAACGGCACACACACACACACACACACACACACACACACACACACACACACACACACACAACTCATGTCGTGTCAACACAATGGCCTCTGCACTGACACGGCACATTATCTCGTGAGGCGAGCTTTATCCTTGGCACGACACGCCGGGTTGCATACGGAGCTGTGTCCGAATAGACACGTTCCGTCGCACGTTGCTAATGTTGTGATGCGAGGACACTCGTCTTGGCGGTCCGCTAATGGCTAATAAAAGCCCTCCAGGTTGTGTGCTGCTCTCGCCTCTATACTGTAGTTAATCTGTTTCTCTCCTCGGCTGATGCCTTTGACTCATCTCCAGTGACCTATGTGCCTCATTATCTCAGTGACCACAGCAACAACCAAGGCCCAGGATACATGGCCCTCCTCATTACAGGCCAATTCTCCCCCAATATATCCCCCCACCCCACCCCCAACCTACCCCACACTGACATTTACAAAATGTTACTTCCAAGCAGAGTGGCATACAAACAAGATACGCTGTCACGGGCAAAACTCCCCTCACTTCTGTCTCTTCACATCAATTATGTATTTCTCCCGTCTAGACATCAAGTCGTCCTGACAGCTCAGAGTGTTATTTAAGGTAAGAGAAGAAAGGGGGGCATCTCGGCAAATATCGCTGCGTTTCTTGCGGCACTAAAACTCACCCTGGCTAGAACACACAAGACAAGTCATTTCCATTTGCTTTTCCTTCGATATTTTTTTTTTTTGGGTTCCCTCTATCGCCTTGCGTGAACCACACTGGAACTGACAGCCGTGAATTTGCACAAGCCCCCGACGGCTGTCTAAGAACCCAAAAATATAAACACGATGAAATTGCCCAAAATAAGCACCGGCGGTAACGGTACAGTGCTGTCACAGCAGAGGTGAGTCATCTGGTGCAGAAGCAGGCCAAAAGATGATGCGTGCTAATCCATTAACAGAAGAAATTCAACCATATACATAGAATAAGTGCAGCTTGCCTGTGTTTCATAATCCACTTTTGACCAGACGGCTGTAAATTCTGTCTCAACAAAAGTCATTTTGCTGGAGAGGTTTTTAGGGTTGGGACTTCAATGTCTGTGGTAACATTTGAAGTTCACCCAACATTTTGGGGAGTAATAGACCTCAAACAAGTCCAACAAAATTGACATTTCAAACCCTTGTTGGGCTTTTTGTGTTTCTTTGGGAAGGCACCACAGAAGGATGCCAGTAACTGCATGGCGGAAACATTTCATGATAACCACATGCTGTTTTTCTTTTCTTTCCTTTCTATTTTTTAAATATGTGAACCGCACAAAAAAATTACAGTGGATTGGGGCGTAATCACGGCAAAGTATTGTCATATTGTTCTGCATCTTACTTTGGTATTCCACTACTAAATAAATAGTAGTAGTGAATACTCGTAAACGTACAAAGGTGTGCATCTCCAATATAAGATGATTCTCAACTAAACTCAACTCAACTGTATTTATGGAGTCCTGAAAAAGAACCACCACTTAATGCAAAGTGCTGTACATGGAGCAATAAGTCGTACAAAAACAAACGTTAAAACAACCAATTAATGGGGAAGACAGTCCATCCATCCCTCCAGTTCTCTAATCCGCTTAACCTCAGAAGTGTTGCGGGAGTGCTGAAGCCTATCACAGCTGTCTTCGGGCAGTTGGCGGGGTACACCCTGAACTGGTTGCCAGCCAATTACAGGGCACTCTTAGTCACGCTCACAATCACGCCGATGGACAATTTAGAATTTTCCATTTGTCTGTCATGCATGTCTGTAAAATGTGGGAGGAAACCGGAGTACCCGGAGAAAACCCACACAGGCACGGGGAGATCATCCAAAAAAGATGATTCAATACCTATCTCGGTACATGCAATACGATTGAAGGACGGTGCATTTCATAGTGGAATGATTCAGCTTGATCTTGTGTAATCAAATCTTTTAAATCTAAGCCGATTTTCCAATTCAAATGCGCTTTCGTTACACCCCATGTATGTCCATAGTGGAAAACACAATTACTAGCACCCTGAACAATATTTCCGATGGGCACATCCTTTTTCCGAGTCATGGAGCAAATTGTGTTGGACTTTGGATGTCTCACTGTCTGAGCTGTGTCTTAATATTTTGGTGATGGGTTTTCTCAACACCAGACAGGCTTTAGACTGGCACTTCCTGTACAGGCAGCAGCGAAGGTGCAAAGGAGGAGGCGTCTGTCCTTACCCGAGTGTGAGCGCAAGTGTCTTTTGAGGGTGGTGTGGCTGGGGAATGGGCGCTCGCAGTGGCTGCAGATGTAGCTGTGCATGCCTGCGTGGACCTCCATGTGCTGCTGCAGGGCCTTCTGGGTCTGGAAGCGCTTTGCACACAGCAGACAGAACACCGCCATGTCAGTCCCTGGAGAAGGCACAAAAGGAGAGACGGAGGCGCGCGGTTATTTCAGTACGGCGCGCAGACACGGGGCCTTAAGTGGGGAAACTGGGTCACTTCAACTTTGTGTGCGTCCTCGGAGGGAAAAGCTTCTTTCAAAGAGCAAGTGTCTCTACCTAAACCAACTCCCCTAAAAGCCCGCAGGCGCTTTAAGCTGTGAGCCTGTTATACGTTCTATTTTCAACCATGAAAGTCATTGTTTTCCTGAAGAATTTCCCACTCAACGGAGCGCATGCCAATCACACAATCAATGGCTCCTTCCTGGTATGTTAGATGTGTAATTATTCTCTTCATTCCCCATCAGGAGTCAGCCGCAGCCTGCGAAGTCCTCTGTGCTGAAAGAGCGGCTGATAGTGGCTCCGCCCTAAATGATGCCTACACCGTGTGCCCTGTGCAGAATGTTAAGTAGTGATATCAAGCCATTAAAGGCAGGACTGCAGGAAAAAAAAAACACACACACACAATCCAGTTTAATCCTGTGTGTGACCTGGCATCTCTTTGGGGCTGCTTTCCTGTTGCGCCGAGTGTGGCGAGGAATACAGATGGAGGAGCCGCCGGCCGGCTCGCTTGTGTCAAAATGGCTACGAGACGTGCATCCTTTGGCTGTCGTACAGTGTGCCACTTGATCTACGAGCTCTGGACGCCGGCACTCCAAATCCACTCTGGCAATTCGCGATGACCCAAAATCATGTGTGTGGTAATGCCGAAGAGCCGGCTAATCTGCTGCTTTATTGACAAAAATGTGTCTCTCGACACAGTCGGGCATTCGTATGAGATTATGAAGGGGGTCCTTATTTGTCTTGTCTGCTCAGGTTTCAGATCCTCTGCCGGTGCTTGCAGCACCCATCGACTGAGATTCAATCAGACATCTCCAGTCGAGGATCATTAGTAAACACGGGACCGTGCCAGCACTTCATTGGAATTCAAGTGGGGTTGCTGTGTCACATTTAAAATGCAGTCTGATGAGGTCCACTAAATCAAATCATTTGTTACTGTTATTGAAGTGCCTTGAGGCAACTGGCAATTAAATTGGAATTAACGCAGGGGAAAGGGATGCAGGGCGCTCATACTAAAGAGGGAAGAGTGTCAGCCGCCCGCTTTTGGGTTCAGTCAAGTTAACGGACAAGAGACAAAGAAACAAATCAAGCCACAAAACATTTGTTGTGTATTCTTTTCTTCATCTTGCGCAAACTCATGTTTTTTTGGAAGGATGTCACACAAATAGACACGCATTTGTAAAGAAGACGGATGACTCCTCGTGTGTGTTTTTCTTGATTCGAAATGCCCTGTTAAAACACTAATAGAAGTGGATCATCCGTAATCATTAACAGCAAGAGGACGGGATGAAAGGCATTCCCTGGTCCTAACGCTCCTGCCAGGAGGCCATCCGCTGGATTGAGCTGCACCTGTTAGAGGCTTTTGGGCTGCGGGCTGCACAAAGAGCACACAATGAGGTTCAGGCCTTCATTGACCGAGCCCATTAGTCATAGGGTGCACATGCACCTCCCACCACCCCACCCTCACCCACGGTCTTTATGTGGTCTCCTAATGACCGCGGTCCATTCTCACCCACATATCACAATATTTGAGTTGGAAGACAACAGACCCACAGCTCTCAATTCCCCAAACACACACTTTTATCCCCTCCGGTGCCCCCGACACGTTATCAGATGACCGTGAAGGAAACCCTTTCAGCATTTAACCGGACTCACGAAGCCCAGGGTAGAGAACCATCTACATTGCCCCGGGGACATTTGAAGATTTGAGCCGTTCACCTCTGTTTCTTTCTTTGCTTTATCCAGCAGGGGGCGTGCTTTCTGTTCCAGTGTATTCCAGACTAGTCACCCTGGTCCAGTTGAGTAACACATAATCCACACATTTAAATACTTCAAAACCACTCTAATTATCATCCGCCCACATGTTTGACGAAAAATGCTTTATTTATTTTTTTTTTTGCGCCATCTGCTCAGACTGTCTGACATTTTTTGTGTGGCAAAATGAAATCCTGCCGCAAGGATGTCACTTTTGAAATCTGGTGTCGGCAGCTTTTGGTTTGTTCTTCGCGCAGAGAATAAAAATAACTAACGTGAACAACAAAGTCAGCTTTCCCAGTCAGGCATTGTGTATCGCGTGTGTTGTCTTGTGTTCGCGGCAGCATTTTGTCAAGCTGCGCTCTGTTAAATTCCCCCAAAAAGATTTGAGTTTTTCTCGTAAGCGCGTACGTAATAAGTGCAGAGGAGCTTGTTTTCGCACAGAATAAGCCTTAAAGTTGGCTGTCATTGCACACTGCGCTCTCACCCTTAACCAGACAATGGGCTCGGGATTTGGGTTTGAAGGCACAATATGACCCCGTGGCCCTTGGCTGTCAATTGGGTCAATAGCATAGAACCAGCGGTACTCCTTTAGGGCCGCAGTTAACTGACCATTGTATCTTGAGGAATGATTTACTCGCAAGCTTATACGCAACAGGAAAGCGCGCACATTTAACCCTGTGCGTTACACCGCACAAGGAGGTTAATAATTCAGGATAGGCCGAGGTGGGGATGCTATTTTGGCACATCCTCCGCCATGCCGACGGAGGCTCACGTGATTAAATGGAGGCCTATTTTGTCTTGTCTTGATGCATCTGCCTCCGAGAATCGGGAGTGAGCTCGGGCTCTCACGCTGCCTAAAAGAGACAAAACCACGTGTCCAGGCAACCAGATAGGATCACGCTCAGTGTTGGGGTGAAGTGTTGGAGCTAATCCCTTCATTCACAAATAAGCGCAGCCTGTTTCTTTTCACACCGCAAACAAAAGTTTTCCCACCCCAAGGGTCTGGGAGTAAACCCCACTGCAAATTGAACAAGAGATTGTATTCATTGACTGCCCGGCCGCTATATTTCCTCGTCTTTGTCTCATCTTTTCAGTTACGAGGTTTGTGTTTCATAAAAAAATGAATGAAACAAGGCAAAGATCATACTACCGTATTTTTCATGCTTTAGTTCAATCACGGGAATATGATTTTGATGATTACGTTGCAACTTCCAAAATTGAACACCTCAGCAGCTCGGAGTGCATCAACAGGATCCCAAAGTGTGATTGACTCTTCTTCTTTGGCTTTTTTTATGCCACCACCGCCGGAAAGCAGTGATTCCAAAGAGGAAAATGATGATAATCATAGAAGAGGAAATTTCATTTAATGAGCCACATAATTATTGGTTACACAAATGAATTTTACCGAACAGATGCAAATAAAAATGGCTGATAGCATGACAGTAACTTGAACCAAGGATGTGCCTTTACTTTATTTTAGTTTTATAATGCAGCACGGTGGATGGTTCACAGTTTTGTGGCTCGTGGTGCACATCTCATCTTTCCTTTATTTGCTGTCCTGACTGATTAATCAGCTGGTTAATTTATTAAAAGATACACAATGAAATCAGCTCCGACGAAGGCTGAAGTGACAGCCGAAACGGTCAGCTAGGCATTTTTCCTCTTCACTTTTTCGAGGTCCTCTCCCTTCCTCCCACATGCCAGAAACATACATGGTAGGGTCATTAAAGACTAAATTCTTCATCGGTGTGAACGTTAAGTGTGAATGGTTGCTTGTCTGTATGTGCCGTGGCATTGGCTGGCGACTCATGACCCGAATGAGGACAAGCTCCATTAAAAAAACAGTGGATGGATACTTTTTGTCACGCAACGGTTCACTTCTCCTTACACTTGAATTGCGTTCAACGTACCGGGTTCCACATTAGATCCTAACACCTCACTCCATTGTAAGGGGGAAATGAATTCAACAGTTTACAATATTACATCATGCGCACCAGTTAGTGTCGTCATATACCAGGGAGTGGCTCTGTCCCCAGGCTGCGCTCTGCGTGTGTGCGAGGTGAAGCATCTCGGCTCAGTTGAGGCTACACACCTCACATGACCCCGTGAGCGTTCAAGTCACTCTCTACTGTATGTACTCATGCACACAGCTCCCCGCTGAGGAGGCCACTCCACACGCACACAGTACCTTAAACAACCCCGGGCTCATATCAGTCGACTGCGAATCTACCCGACGTAGGAACAACCCGATTCAATAATTAATGCAACGGGCTTTGTTTGACCTCGTTTTACCCATTTAGCGGAGAGGTTCACTCAGGTCACTGCTCTCCTACCTCCGCGGCGGTTCCTGGAATGTTTACGCCACTCTCCATCTAAATAATTTTCACGAAATAGAAATCGAGCGGGCCGCGGGGTGCTTTGTGTATCATCGCAGAGCAAATACGTCGCGGGCCAAGGAGGGCACAGTTCAGTCTGGTCAACGGCGTGCAGGAATTGCAAGTAGTTATTGAAGGGAAGCTGTAGCCTGATGACGGACGCACTGGGGCGAGCTAAAAGGTCTGTGCCATACAAAGCTGAGGCTGTTTGAATGGAGTTTCAGTGCTGTTTAATTACAAGGGGCAAGTCAGAAGGTTATGTCTGTAATGCGTAGACAGTGCAGCTGCTGTGAGTACACAAAGCCATCCCTCATGTCCCGAGCCTTGAAGGCAAGGTGACAACATGACTGGGCAACCTGGATAACAAGCATTGAACACAGTCCATTTCGCCACAGATATGATACAATCTCAAAAATCAAGACAACCCCCCCCCTGTACTCGTAGTTTGCAACCCACTGCATCATACTGGCGAGTTACACGTATAGATTTGATATTATCTGCGTTCCTTTTTAGATGTTTTTAATTTAATCAATATTATGAATGTATCATCCGGATGAGCATTTTCATTTTTAATGAGTGTTATGCCATTTTTTTTATTTTTTATTTTTAGTAAATTAATTGTATGAATTAATTTACACCAAATTTATGATTTATGAAAATAGTCATTTATTTTGTTACATTAAAAAAATAATTTTAAAAATATTTTATAAAGTATTAAATATACATTAGTATACGCTGTACATTAAAATCTTCTAATCTGTTGAAGAACGTGAGAGTC